AGGCATAAAAAAAGTCATATTATCGTAAGGCTTAAAAATTAAAAAAAAAAGTCATAGTATAATAATGCATAAAATGTCATCAAAACATCATGATATAGTAAGGCATAAAAAAATCGTTGTCTAGTAAGGCATAAAAACGACATAGTATAGTGAGGCATAAAATGTCAAAAAAATTTTATTGTATAGTAAGGCAAAACAACGTCATAGAATAGTAAAGCATTAGAACATCATAGTATTCTGGGGCTTAAAAACATTAAAACAGGTCATACTATAGTAAGGCATAAATATTTCATAGTATACTGAGACAGAAAATGTCATAAAACATCATAAGGCATAAAGATGCAAAAAAACATCATAGTATAGTAAGGCATAAAAACATCATAGTACAGTATGGTATGAAATGTCATATTATAGTAACATAAAAAATGTCATCATATCATAAGGCATAAAACTTCAAAAAACGTTACAATATAGTAAAGCATAAAAAGTCATAGTAGAGTATGGTATAAAAGTAAGGCATAAAATGTTATAAAAAGGTCATGGTATAGTAAGGCACAAAAACATCCAAAAACTTTATTGTATAGTAAGGCATAACACGTCAAAAAACATCATGGTATAGAAAGGAATAAAAAAACGTCAAAGAAAGGCATAAAACCTCAAAGAATGTCATAGTATAGTGAGGCATAAAAAACATCATAGCATAGTAGAGTATAAAATGCAATAGTAGGCTAAAGTACGGTATAAATAGTCATAGCTATACTATGAAGGCAAAAAACATCACAGTATGATGAGGTAGAAAAGGTCATAGTATAGTAAGGCAAAAAATATCATAGCATAGCAAGGTAAAAAAAAGTCATAGTATAGTAAGGCTTAAAAACGCCAAAAAATGCGAAAGTATAGTAGGGCATGAAATGTCATTAAAAAGTCAGTATAATATTGCATAAAAACCTCACTGTATAGTTGGCAAAAAAAACATTATTTTCATGTTAACCTTTTCATGGTATTTTTCGAAAAAATTCAACTCATACTTTGATGTCGCCACCCGATAAGATGCCCATGTCACCCATATCTAAATCCCACATTGATGGTGGGTCAGCTGAAAAAAATCATCAAGCTGTCTTTATATAAGATTACAAATGATCATGTTATTTCTATTGTAAATGCATGACTAAGTCAATAAATTCAGAATGATGCACTGTAATCTCTTGAATATGGACCATGTATGAAATAAACCACTGGCACTCTCCTCCAAATCCACCTCCAAATGCTAAAAAATGCACGTTTAAGAGCAGAATAATGTTTTTAATTTCCCTGGTTATTGCACCACCCAGTGTTGAAAAACTGTCAAGACAATTGACTGCAGGAAATTAAGTGGATGAGACAATCAACTTTAGATTTTCCATTTTGACAGTTCAATCTTAAACCTGTTGGTGATGCTTAATTGTATTGATGGGGAAGCACTAAAATGGACAATGCATCCATTCATTGTGGTCAAGGCAACACAAAATTTCTCCTCCTGAAGAGAAGTAAATTGGGGCCTGCAACACATTTTCAATACACTAATCACTGACACATGCAGATTATACTCTATACAACACAGTAAAATAGCCAGTTTTTCATCCTCCATTTAGAAACACCTTTTGACTTTGTGCTTTAAACCTGCAAATATCTATATTAACATTCAATCAGTTGCCTCTATGTAATGTGAAAATGCTTGGTATAGTTCCATAATTACCTTTGTTAACATAATTATCCCATAATTTTGCCCTATGGAGCTTTTTAGCCTCTTTTAGTTTGTGGTTTTGTTTTTACTGTTTGCACATTTGATATAATGGCTGAGTCTGAACTGCTCTTACAAACCAAGCAGCATCAGACAGCATTTCATAAACCAAATGTAGGGTACAGTATATTTAGTAACAAACAGAGACAAACAAATTAACAAATGTCTGGCAATGGAAATCAAACATCTAATCAGTTAAAGAGTGACATCTTTGGAGACTAAAACACAACTAAAATCATTAATATTGTTATATTATTATCATATTATCAATTTGTCAATGACTTGAAATATGACTCCAATGAGAAGTGGTGGCTGTGTCCTTGAATGCTTGTTGTGATGTTATACTGCTCCCTAGTGGAAGAACATTGATTAACACATGTTTTAGACATACATAATATCTTGGAGAGGAATGCACTACAGTCCAGTGTGGTGCTTATACTGTAATTCTCCAAATGTGGAGCACAAGCATCTCAACAATTCAAAAAGTTGATGACATTTCAGTGTAAGATTTTGAAAGGGAATGGGAAAGCACAAATTACTGTTGAGGCCATCTGTAAAATTTTCACGTTGGGCCCCACTGACAGAGGGGCAATGGATTGCCTGGCATATGTAAAATGTAGGACAGACACCAGATACTGGATACAGACTGAATTAATAAAATTATAATTATTCCCCACAATTTTGCTTCAATTCCACAATATGATCACAGGGGGGCACTATTTTACAGCGATGTACTGAGATTTTATTATACCGCTAAGAAGTGAACCCAAAACAAGATTCTCTCTGCCACAGCTGATGATTTGAACTGTAACCATGAACTGTGAAACCATGAGTTTCAAAACATCACAGGGAGGTTAGCATGAAATGGTGGCCTTTTGAGGTGATCAGAGAGTGTGTCTGTAAGAGCAGTAATCAATCAGAAATACGGGAATGATTGGTTAGGAATTACTGTCAGGGCTAACAGAGGAATTTGGTATTGTTTTTTTTCTTCCTTTCATTTGCCTCATGAGAGGAAGGTCACTTAACTATGATTTTGATGCATTCCTAGCACAAACACGAGTATATTTTTCCAGTTGCATCATATTTAAAAAATGCAAACATCAGCCTGTTATCTTCTGCAGCTGGTGTTTTTGTTGAACTGCAGCCACACCAGAAACAATAATCTGCATACCACAAATTCCTCTGGAAGAAAGGTGCAACTTGGAAACAAAGTGTCTCTCTTTTTGTCTCTATCTCTTCCTAAAATCTGCAGCAACAACACACCTTCAAGCTGATGAGAGATAGACAGTAGATATATCCAATATCCAATTCTAGCTGCTAATAAAGTATAGAATTACTGTGCAGTTTCTAATCACCACAACTCAACCTGAAGGAATGGATTCCATTGCCCAAATATGGGCTCAGGGAAGTGGTAAGCCCTGACGCAATCCTCACCACTGTTACTTTAAATGGTTTCAGGAAATGAGGGCTCCCACTCACGTCATGGGTTTTCCTCTGCATGTACCACAGGAGCAGGATGTGCTTAATATGGGCATCTGTCTGTTAACCTCCACCCCCATTTTCTTTTTTTCCTGCAAAAGGAAGCAACACACTGGGGGATGGGTGAGCCTGAAGGAGGGCTCAGAAAGGCAACCTTCAATGACTGTTCCAGATAGCAAGGGCAGTAGAATGGTATTCATTCCTAGTGTGAGAAAGACTAAAAATGGACAGAAGTATCTTTCATGGATTACATTTTTCCTGCTTCAAGTGCATTCATACAAGTGCATTGCAGTCAATTTGTGATTTGTACATTTGCAAATAATTTTGAAACAACTTTCAACTTTTCAACTTGTCTGACATGTATTTCTACCACTTGGATTAATTGAAAGTCACTTACCTCATAAACATTACCTTCCCACCCAAGGCTCTTTAAATGAAGTTTGCTGTTGGATGTCATTTTAACCACACAAGTTTCTTTTTCAAATTAGCAAAGAAAATTGATTTAACTTGACTCTTTAAAGCTGCATGGAGAGTTTTATGGTTAAAAGTGTACACAGCGGTCTGAACCCAGTTAAGTTTTGTATCTTTGGCTGATCAGCAATGACACACCAGTTGTGTCAGGTAGATGTAATGCATAAAAATTAAAGGGTAAAATGCAAAATTTCTCCTTAACAGCTGTGAATAGATTCTCCACTGTAAGGTCACATTTATTAATGCTTTTACCTGCTGCAAAGGCATTACATATTCAATTTCATCAGGCTACTGCATATGTTAAACCAAGAACACCAAAAAGTTATTTCACAGTGCTGCAAACATGCACTTACAATGCTAAAATTGAGCTTTGGCTGTAAAGCAACATCCAAAGATGTTTGTCATCACAACCAGACTGAGGATCAACTCGATCTGTGGCATATATCCAGTGCAAAGACAGGTGCGCTTTTGATCTAGCTTTGGAAAACTACTGTAAGGTGGGGGGACTGCCAGTCCAAGTCCAAAGTCCAAAGCTGTCTGCATGCCGTAACCTGTTTATGTAACTTGCGTAATAAAATATCTAAAAAAAAACATGGAGAGTACTTTTACAGGCAGGTTGAAGTGATTCTATCAAAGAAATAAACTGATGAAACATAACAAAAGTGTCTATTTAGATAAATCATACATTGCCATCATGATTGGCTGTAAGGTATGATAATAAATTGTGCTTTAGAGTGTTTATGTAGCATGGCAAGTTTCCATCCAACAATCCAGCACAGCACCCAGAAGTTGTCATTAAGAAACCACCACAATTGATTTTTATTGCTCTATACATACACATGATTGTGTGAATATGACAGCTTTGAAACTTTATATTTTTAATATTTCTTCCTGTTTCCAGTCTTTAAAGTAGGATTTGATGGCAAACAAGCCAATCTGCCTAAATCTCAATGAGTTTCACTATTTTCTAGGATGTTTTCCTCGCTTGTTTTTGTTTTTATATACCTGTGGTTATATTACTAGTAGGTGCATGTGGGTTCTATCAGTTGTTTGTTCATCACAGTTATAATCTTCCTTGTGATTTTAGCTTGTATGTGGACACTTATGTGGTCATATCTTGATAGAGGACACCAGTAGATTTAAACAACCACAGCTGCCTAAGCAGTTGCCGGTGGGCGGGGCTCTGTTGTATGACGCTAGGTGAGCGACGTCAGCGAGGTGATAAGTACTAGTCTTGCAGCCGGCCTGTATTGTGTCTGCCTGTGGACTCGGCGGGGAGAGAGTCAATTCACAAACCAACCCCTGATTGTTTGTGCTGGACTAGTTTCAAAACAAGCTGTGACATGGAGGTCAGCGCCGAGGCCAAGAGGATCATGGTGGTGGCTTTGGGGAAACTGTACAGCTCCCGCAGCCAGCGAGGGGGTGTCCGTCTCCACCGGAGTCTCCTGCTGACTCTGGTGATGAAATCCGCCCGGGACATCTACCATGCGGCCCAGCCGACGCCAGAAAGTGAGGCATCAGGATATGAACACCCGGCGGCTCAGGGGACCACGGTGCCCGCTGGCGCTCATGTGGAACTCCAGGGTCCCGCTCTGCTTGCTACCGTACAGCCACGGACTCTACCCGGAGAGGAGGTCGCAGTCTCCCCCACAGAGGGAACCGGCGCAGAAAACAAGGAGAACCAGTGCCCGACTGGCCCGGCACAGCATTCGAGGAAAAGAAGAGGCAAAGCGGCCGCTGAGCCGGACTTCCTGCCTTGCAAGAAAGCAAAACTTGAACAGGGAAACTGCCCTCAACAGCTTATTGTAAATTCCGTTTTGATGGACTATGTGAACTGCAGCAGTGAGCTGGGAGCACCACCATCCCCCATGCCTCTACAGAGAGCCATTGCAGCGTGTTGAAACCCTGAGCAGCCTCACATTAAAGTGCAAGAAACTTCGACACAGCCTTTAAGAGCATGAACGCTCCTACAGTGCACCTGTCATAGGGTCACTTGGATGAACACCCGGGATAGTTTTTCCTGAAAGAGCCAGACATGACTCTGAACAAGCCGGGGCATGTCACAGGAATCACGGAAGCAGACCAGTTGGTGTGAAGTCGTCCCAGTGACTTTTGGCCTAAATATGTGGCACAGCTGACTACAGGGACTGACTTCAGCTGTTCAAGGCAGACCTACAGGAAGTGGTTCATCTGGACCGGCCCTTGGACTGCCTTTATGAACATTTGCAGATGTATCGTTTTGAGTGTGTTGAGGCCTACATGTTGACTGAACATGGGGGGTGTGCTGATGAATTCAAGTGTAAAACATTCAATGACAACAACTACCTCATTATTTATTAAACATTTTGTACAAAAAGTGGATCTGGAGTAATGCGTTGTTTGTGAGGGCTGGATGTGTACTGATACTATAAAAACGGCCGTTAGTGCGGAATTTTGCTGGTGGCTTGAGAAAATCAGTGTGAAAGTGGTATGTGGGTGTGTTTGAGTGTGACAGGAAACTGGTTTGGGTGTTAAGAAGTTTGCTTCCTTCCCCCACAGCTTCACATCCCCCACACTAATTTGCAGAACAAAAGCAGGGACAATTCAGGAGATTGCGGTCCAAAGGATGAGGGGGAGGCCATAAAAGCCACTGGCTGGCCAAACACTGAGAACAATCAGGGTCCCCTGGAACTGTGGTGGCATCAGTGATTGATTCAGATCCAGCAGTCATGGTGCAGAAGTTTGTGTGAAGAAAAGAGTAGTAGGGGTACAGCTAATTTAACTGTCTAGAAGATAATGAAATTAAAGGGTACACAGAGAAATGCATTTCTCCTTTTACTTTGAGTCAAGTTGAATTTTGAACAACAGTAGTGTAATTTACTGTGACAGTCATTCTGCACTGCACCACAAGTTCCTGTAGAGGGTTTTAACAAAACTCATTCCATTTAAAATCAATGATTCGTAATTAAAATGTAAATGATAAAACTAACCAATATTTAGAGATATGTGCATTTAAAAGTTTGGTTTTTTTTTTATTTAGCTTCTCTGTATTTTTATATTAAAGTAGGCTGTAAGTTTTGGAATGCAATGCCCTCACCCGCCCTCTCAGCCAGAGACAACTTGTATGGTGGGGGGTGCAACAGGGATTCACCAGTAGCTGTGTGTTTGTGTTGGGGGAAGGGGGTTAACCCAGGAAAACAGAGGAAGGAATGTGGGGGGAAGTGCCCGTGTGATCCCACCCTCCTACCCCTGTGTGAGGCCCCAACTGTGCTGCTCATTCTTCCGGCTGAAACCAGAGCTCCCTGTCTGCAAGGCTGGGAGGAGTGGCCGGAACCGTCTGGGCATGCCTGTGAAAATACACACGTACACACACTCGTTCATCTTCTCATAGAACCCAATTTGTCTGGCTATTCTTATTGCATGAACCCTTCCTTTAGCCCCCCCTCCCCGCTATCTCTCTCTCACACAAGCTAATGAATATGCTGACACGTTGATGCCTGTTAGGTATGTCAACTTAAAGCTGCAAAAATATATGTATTTGCAATAACAAATATATAAAATGACTGTACTGTGAAAGATGGTCTGTGAGCGTTTTAGTGTCTTACGCGTGACCCTCTTGGTTTTACAGCTGTTAAAATTTTTGTTTAGTTCAGTCTCAACACTCGTCAACACAGCATGTACAGCAGCTGCTTTCATGGACTAAACTGATTAACCCATACTATGTGTTTGGGTGAGTAACAAAGTAATGAGTAGCGCCTCTGAGCCATACACACCCACAACACACATCCTCACAATTAAAAAGACCAGAGCAATAATGTGGACAAGAACTGAGGCAAAGCGGTGTGTGCATTCTCTCTGGATTTTATTCTTTAGGAAGAGTTCTGTTTGGAATTACAAAATGCACTGGTAGAAATAGCGGTGAGACAGGTTGAGAGTGCGACAGATAAGAGTGTGAGAGAGACAGAGATAGAGAGAGAGAAAATAGAGGGAGTGAGTGAAAGATCAAAGGTTCCACAGCCAGTTTTAATGAGTACATCATCAGATTTGGCTTGCTCCTGCACCCCCTGACCCCCACAAAAAGTAGAAGGGAGAATACACCATCTTCTGAACTGCACTTTCTTTTCTTTGTCTATATTTTTTTTCATTAAAAACAGTTCTTTTTTTGTGGTGTCCTGAACATGGTTGTGTTGTGCCTCAAACCCATGTAACAGAAGAAAACAAACGAGACTCTGACTCTCACCAAAGTCTCTTTTGTGTTTTTATTCTTTAGACTTTTTTTTTTTTGTAATTTTTTAACCTTTTTTGTTCTCAAAAATAGAAGGAAAAAAGGAAACATTGCTTTTTAAAAACATCTATCTATTTATATATCTTTTTTTTATTCCTCTGAATTCATTATCTGCTTTTTCTTTTATGTCCTGAAGATGACTGTTAACCCACGGTGTGGCATGCACATAGCACATGCATTTCTGGAACTAGATATTTTTTCCTTTTTTTAATCTTTTGTACTTAAAAATGTTTTTTTTTTTTCTTCTCAGTAGCGGCTTTACATTGCTTTTTGAAGACTTTGTGTGGTTAATCAGCGTGTTAGTGGATTTCACTGCAGCATAGACACAAAGATGGATGGTGAATGTTTGGGGTTTTACATGTTTCATTCAGGGGTTACTGACGTTACACACACGCACGCACACGCACGCACACATGCGCGCACGCACGCACGTGCGCACACACACACACACACACACACACACACACACTCACATACATATATGCACACACAAACACACAGAATCGGGGATCGTTACAATGATTTGAATGAAACATCTTAAGATTTCAAAAGGATTTCTGGAGATGAGGAACAGAAGGCAAAGCAAGCACAAAACCAAAACACCAGAACTTATCAGAAACACACTCTCCCATGTACAAACACACAAACACCACAACCAGGAGCTACATACCTAGTGTGCTTTCTGATTTTAAGTGTAGTGATGTGAAAAAATACTTGTCTGTGACATTCCACTAAGGTTGGAAAGACACTAATAGGCAGTTTTTTTTTCTTTTCTATTTTTTCGGTGCATTCTCTGGTCAACATGTGATAGGCCTCCAGGTAAAACATTGGTCAAATAAATAAATAAAATAATGATAATAATAATAATAATGATGTTGGGGCTGACAGTGGCACGCGTTAGTGACAAGTGTTAGTTTGGGGCACACAGAGGAACACGCAGATCGAAATAAAGACCTATAGGAGTGATACACACATAACACTTTTTCCAGGAACACGACAAAGCCCAGACATCGTTTTTCCAACCCATCTGAACTGTGCTACTGTGCAATTCAGTCACCTGTGTTTACACATGGTGAACACAGATGAGGTGGACAACTTGTGAGAGAATGAGCTAAACTGTGTGTACTTGGTGCAATGATCCTGTGTAACAGCTCTGAATCAGAGGTGAAGTAAAAGGGAGAGGTACAAAAACCAGACACTGTTTGTCCTACAGCGCCACCTGAAGGTCACAAGTGGTGGTGGGACACTTGTTTCAGCATCTGCAGGAGAAATGCAGAGACATGTAGGGACCTGCTGTGTTTGACAGAATTTCAAAAAAGAAAAAAAAAAAACGGGGGGGGCTCAAAATCAAGTTCATCCACTGTCTGAATGCTCTGTATTATTTAGCCTCTTGACTGACTTATGTTTGCCCTCCTGCAATCTAATGCTCCCACAACGCAAGTGTGGGGTGGAGCTCCACCTCAGGGTTGGAAAAATGATTAGCTGAGCTCGAAATTAAATAAACATAGAGAAAAGAATACAAGACCAAATATGGAGAATCTGCCTCATTATCACGATCATCATGATCATTATAAGTTATTATATTATCTGTTCATCCATTATTACGGCCGGTAACAAAGAAAACAAAGATGAAGAGTTTCTCTCCTTTCTCTGCCTTTCTATTGGTCTCTTTCTCTCTGATGACTCTATTTTAACCCAAAACCCTGGAAGACTTTGAGATGTTACTAATTTGTCAAACTTGTTCACCAATATGGACACCACTTTTTTTCCCCCCACTTTACCCTGCTTCCCAGTATATCATTTTTAGGATTTATCACCTTAGTTACAAAAAGTTACTTCCACAAAAATATGTGCAATTCCAGCTGTATCAGTGGCAAGCATTTGGCACAGAACATACAGACAAGCAAGCAAAAAGTAATCATTTTGTTCCGTCTAGATATACATACAGTAACTATCCAATCTCCCTCTGTCGTTTGATTCTAGTGTACATGAAAGTACAGAGAGAGCATTGTCATACAGAGGAGAGAGAGAGAGAGAGAGAGAGAGAGAGAGAGAGAGAGAGAGAGAGAGAGAAACAGAAAGGCATTTTACTCAACAAAAAAGAGAGAAACCCTACAGACCACAACAGAAAGGACTGAGGAAAATTTCCCCCCACATACAGTAGGTTCTCATTGTTGCTATTATTAATATTTTTTTGTATCATTCATGCAGGATTCCACAGGATGTACAACTCCGCAAGTCTAAAAAACGAAGCTGTGTGGGGTGCAACAGAAGATTCAAGCTTCAATGTTTTGAAGAAGTAGAAGAGAAGGAGGAAGAAGAAGAAGCAGCTGCAGGAATAGAAGAAATACTGCAGAAAACAGTTATTGGTTTGTTTTTCGTTTCTGAAACCCATCTCCACATTTTTGTTTTTCTTCTCTCATTAGGTCATAGGTTGAGGTTGGTTTAACTGTTTCTGGGAGGAGGTTGTTCTCCAGGGACGGGGGTAAACATCCCCAAAACACCCCATCCTGTCCTCTAGATTTTGACTGAGGGACTTGTCAACCCCGTGCAACACTCCCCAACTCTCCCACCCACTTAGCCTTCTCACCTCACACAGGTGGAGGGCTCATTGTCAGTTTTGTTCTTATTTAAAAACACAGATGATAAAACTCATCAATATTCAACTGGTGGCTGGGAGGGTTGGATTTGATTCTTTCTGCAGCTAACTGAACTTAAGTTAGCTTTGAGAAGCAAAAAAAAAATTGGTCGTTCTTTTGTCTCTGACTGTAAAGTGTCTTTTGTCGAGTCGCAACTCTTGACATCTTGTAAGTGGCTGTAGCTCGTTGCCAGAGGCATAATTTAAGACACACAAAGATTAGTGTCCATCACCCCTCCTGCTTGCATCCTTAAAAACTTCAGTTTGAGGTTGGTCTCATTTGGCATCAAGAGATGAATGCAACAACAATGCAAGCAGAACATGGAGGTGGTTTGTGACCTCCTCTTACACCCCTTGTTTCTCCAGATCCTGCCTCAGCATTCTTGTTCCATCCCTTCATCCTGACACCTATCCCCTCATCTAGCCCACCATCCCTGGGACATGCCAAGCAGTGGAGGAGAGGTAAAATTGAACAGACAAGAAAGAAAAGGTTGTGGTTTCCCTTGGCAGTCAGTGCTCAGGCTGAGAGCTTCCAATCTTCATCTTTCGGTCCATCTATCAGTTCTCTTTCCTCCGTCAACCCCCTCCCCCATCCCCAGAGGCTAGCACCAGTCGTCGTCCTCTGTCTCGCTGTAGGGTTCATGCAGGCCCTTGCGGGGCCCTCTGGGATGCCCAGCTGGAGGGGGGACCTTGTGAGGCCCAGTATGTGGGGGTCCGTGGAGATGTGTGGAAGGTGATGAGGAACGGTAGCCATTGGGAAGGCGACGCTGGGCAGCAGGCTGCACCTGGCCCTGCACAGGCCCAGTCAGGGCAGTGGTGGGAGGAGGCGCATGGTGGGCAGTCCTAGGTGAAGTGCGACTGGGCTGAGAGTGGGGCGGGGGATGAGGGTGGGGGTTGTTTGCAGGGTGTGGCTGGGGTGGAGGGTGGGGATGGGGGTTATGTGGCTGTGGTTGTGGTGGAGGCGGCAGTGGGTGGTTGGTCAGGGCATGTGGGTGGGGGTTGCCACCCTGTATGGGGCTCTGCTCATAGGCAGGTGGTTCATGATGGGGCTCATAGTCCTGGTAGTCCTGGTTGTAGAAGCAGCCATCCCCTTCCATGGAGCCGCCTCCTCCACCTGTGTCTCCCCAACGAGGCGGGGGATGATGGCCCTGGCGGGCAGTGCCATGGTGGGCCAGTGGGAGGCCAGCGGGGGGAGGGCCCTGACCTTGGGGAGGCTCAGGAGAAAAGCGGCGAGGGGCTGGGGCTGGGGGTCTGCCCTGTGGCCCCCCAGGCGGAGTGGGCATGGCCTTACGGACCACAGGGGAGTAGGTAACATGAGGCCGGGGTGTTGCGGGGGTCTGAGGCAACTGTCGACGGCCTCGACGTGGCGTACTGGTCCCCGAAGTTGAGGGGACAGGACTTCCGCTGACCGAACTACTGCCCTACACAAAAAGTGAAATAAAGCAAATAAAAGGAACGAACCACGAATTCAACGACAGAACATGTAGAATAAAGTAGAGGATGGGAAAGATAGAGTATGAAACAAATAGAGAGGGAAAGAGAGAATGCAAGAATGCAGAGAGAAAGCAGAGTCCACATAGAAAAGCAAGAAAAGACAACAAGAACCACAGCAATGATAAGAATAAAAGCACGAGTCATAATGTAAGTGGAGTGGAGGAGAGGAAGGTAGAAATGAAAGGCATCAAAAAGTAACAGAGCAGATGTGGATAAAAAAGATGAGTTTCCAAACAGCACCATACATAGAGAAGCAACATGTCACGCAGAGGAAAGAAAACAAAAGACGACAGGAGAAAAGAAGGGTAAAGGGTTGATTTCTGGAGCAACAAATGTGGCACAGGATAAATATGGTGACTAAGCATACATAAAATGTATTTGGTTTTAAATTGTGAGTGAGCTGTGTGATATGTATGCAACATGCAGAGTTCTAAAAAGTATTTTTTTTTCCAAATGGGAGAAACCAATTCTTCCCGTTTGAAGAGAATTAGTCCTCCTTTGCAATACTTTTCAAGTTATAACATAAAAATTCAATACATACGGCTGAATGTTGTGCATCACAAAAGCAGATGTAGATTGTACCTTATTGTTTCACATTGTGACAAATATTCTAAAATGTTGTCAGTAATGTGCTCGGAAGACTATGTTCTAAAAGGACAAATAGTGTAGGGGGTGGGGGTGTTGGGTGGGGGCGGGCAGGGAGGGTTGTGGGGGGTGTGGGGTAAGGGACATGAGAGAACATTAGCAGTCCAAAAACATTGAGGCAGGGTAGATAGGGACAGCAGTCAGGTACTCAAATATACATATTTATGCATATTTGTTCGGTTGTTGGAACAATGACTTCATTTAAGAAACATTTACTTGTACTCACATGATTATACCCACACTAATGCATATGTTTGTGTGCATGTAGTCAAGAGTCAAAGTCAAGAGTATATGTACATACAAATGAACGTATAGGGTACATACTATCATTGCCATTTTGAACACAACTCTCTGTTGTTGAGGAACACAACATGTCTTGGCCTCTAATTTGAGGGGAGAGTAGTCTAGTCTATTACAGTAACTCTTTGCCACTCGATTATGTCATCATATCAAACATCTTTCCTGATCAACTGTGAGTTTATGGTAGCTTCAGTGTCCTTTCCAGAGGTTTTACAAATAACTCAGAGATCTGTTTGCCAGTTGGCTATCACAGGCAGCAATGTGCTCAAAGTTGAACACTATGAGGGGAATTGTCATAACAAAAACCAGAAACAGTGCAGTCAACCCAGCTCTGACGCATGGTCTTTCATCCCCGCCAGAGCATTATAATTTCAGATTGCACCAATTAACCACCATCAAACTAGAGGCCCATGTGTGACAATGTGTTCCACCACTGCATTTTGTATTAGTAAGCAATACAAGCAACTAAACACTACATGCACACAAGTACCCAGAAGCCCACCTGTCTGTGTGTCATGCACTCGCGACCCTCGCTGGGCGATCGTGACCAGCGCCGGTCCCTTTCTCTCTCTCTCTCCCGGTCGTGCTCTCTGTCACGGGAGTGCCTGTGTCCGTACTCGCCCCCTCGCTCTGCTACGTAGCGCTCTTTGTCCACAGAGCCATGGTGGTGGTGGTGATGATGGTGGTGTTTACGGTCTTTGGACCGGCCACGATCTCTGTCACGATCCTTGTCTTTGGATGTGAGGTCGCCTGACTGGGTGGTTGTGCTCAGGTCTGTGCCCAGGCCTGATGGTGGAGTTTATCACAGTTATCATTGGGGTTATGTGTGGTGCAACTGTGTTAATGTGGCATATGTCAAACCATAACATTATTGCTTTCTATATCTATGGTTGATGTGTGTATGTAGTCTTTCCTACCTGTATCAGCCTCTGTGTAACGACAGAGGGACCTTTCAGACGCCCGGTGACTCCGGTCTTTTCGTCGGTGTCCGTGTCTGGAAGTTCTCCCCTCCTCAGGTATAACACGCTCCATGTTGTAGTCGTCTGCCCCTCCTTTGTCTCTGTGGCCACGCCCGGACCTGCTGTGGCCCAGCGACGAGGCCGAGCGTTTCATGGGACTGCTGTCATTGATGGTCTAAGAGAGAAAGAGAGAGACCGCCGAAAGAGGGAAGGAGAGAAAGGAAGAAAGGCAAGGAGAGGTGTTTCCTTTGATTGTCAGGTTGGTGTTTTCTGTGAGCTATGGGGTAAGAGACACTATGTATATGTGTCTATGTGTGCATGTGCGTGAATGGGGTCTGTTTATTGAACTGTATGCAAGCCCCCCACCCTCCTTCCTCCCATATCCCATCCCATATCATAAACTCCCACATTAGTAATAATGTTCTAATCATGCTATTTCAAAAATATAGACACTGTATACAATTTATAGGGCAGGGGTCGGCAAAAAGCAGCCAATGGGCCAAATTTGGCCCTTCATCACAATTATTTAGCTCCTACAAGAAAAAAAATGTTCAGCATTTTTCATTAATCTACTATAGAAAGATGGAAAGACATATCATATCCGTAGTCCTAATGACCCATTTAATATTCAAAGTCATTATTATTATTAATAGTATTATATATTATTATTATTATCATCAATAAACCCTTATTCTGCACCAGGTTTTAATGTGAACAGCTCCTGGTGCTGAAATAAAGTCTATTTAAGTTACCAGATAAATAACAGATGCCTAATAAAAATTCTTTGAGATATTCCTTTATTTATTTAATTCTTTATTTCAAACACATTTAATTCTACAACATTATTTAATAAAAAAACAATCTACATTACATGATTACCCATCTTAGAGAGTGACATATGTTTCTTATTGTTAGTTACATAAATACTTATAGTGAGCTTTCACTCTGCTAGGTTCATGGGAGACCTAATGAATCGGTCAGATAGATAATATCTGATCCTTCAATGTTCATCAGAACTTTAAGTCCATGTATTTAAGGGGCTTTAAGTTTGACTTTGACTACTGCTAGTCCAGGAGTGGACTGATACACCTAACAAACAGTATTATTACTCTTTTTCCAGATGAAAAAAGAATTCACACCATAGGCATGTGTGAGTGCACCTGTAAAACTGTGCTACTCCCCAAATGAACAGAGTTAAGAAACCTGGGTCAGGGCTCAAGCTACAGCGATTGCCGACCCCTGATGCAGAGGAATAAAAAAGTATACAAGAAAAACAAAAATAATAAAAAGAATTAAAATAAAGAGATGATGGCAAACGGCCATGCCTTCCATGCGTCTGTAACTTGCTTTATAAAAGAAAAAAAGGGTCAGAAGGATCAGTACGACTTGCAACACTCCTCCATCCTAACCATCCGTTAAACCCCATGAACAAGGCACATTCCAGGCTGCACTATTTCTACTCTGTCTCAGCGTGCTTTCCTCCAGCCATGCAGGTACATAGGGGTTGTCCTGAGTCCTAAACCCACATGAGAACTTCCTCCTGCAGTGCTGAGGCCTCATGCTCTGAGATCGGACAGCAGGACAGAGCCTATGGTGCCACAAGTAGCTGACCTGGGCATGTAAACCATATCAGGCTACTTCAGTGCTAGATCCTTTTGGCAGCTGACCTCTCCAAGTTTTCCAGTTATAGTGTATGAGACAAATTCACTGGCAGATGACAGGTCAGCAGACGTGTATAAAACACCAGATTATCTGGCCTTATAGGAGTAGCACTGAGAATCCCAACAACATATCCATTCATACACACACATACGCAAATCATTCCTCTGTATTCATTACTCACTCACTCACTCACACTCACACACACTCATACACATTTCAACAAATTCTGTGCATGCAGGTGGGCAGGTGTAAATGGACACTTGGACACAGACGGGGAAACATTGACAACATCATTATAGACGAGCACAAAAGCATGAAGACATAAAGCAACAAAGCACTAGCAGCAGCAACAGCAGCTGAAGAGGAGAGAGAGAGAGAGAGCGAGAGCGAGAGCGAGAGAGAGAGAGAGAGAGAGAGAGAGAGTGAGAACGAGAGAGAGACAGAGGCCACAAGACAGTGGCAGTGACTGTTGATGATAAGAAGGGACGTGCACAGTTCAGCCCAATTCCAAACTACTACTACATTAAGTGCATAAGAGACGTGGCTAAGGATTCTGAGATCAGTTTGGAAGCTGGGCTGGCTTCAGGGTTGGTCATGCTATAAAAGGTTATCCTTATAAATTCTACAGAACCCCCCGCCCTAGAAATGATAAAGACACAACATGAAGACATGACTAATGAGGAAAACAAGACGTTTCAGGAGTGTGTGAGAGTGAAAGGGAGAGAAAAAAAGAGAAGAGAGAGAGAGTGAGACGAGACAGGAAGGACAGGGTACATACACTGAGGTTACTGCCACGTTGTTTTCCTCTCCTCCGCTGCTATATGAGCACAGATAAGACACACACACGCACACACACACGCACAGAGCCACAAATACACCAAAGGTGTGGTCACACATGGAGCATCCATATAGAACCAGGAAGGGAGGAAAAGGAGAGGGAGAAGGAGAAAAGTAAGGGAGACAGGGATGGATTGATACAGAATGAAAAAGAAAGGGGAAACAGAGGAGTACAAGTAAGAACCAAAGAGTGTTAGTTGGAGGTTTAACCCAAAAAGAGATGGGGGTGCAACAGTGAAGAGAGGAAAGAAAGAGACAGAAAGAGAAAGAGGGACAGAGAAAGAGAGTCTGATTAGACACTGAAGCAGCAGTGAAGGTGGAAGAGAAAGACTTACCACAGACACTGGTGGTTGGCGCCAAAACAGTGTTATATAGACAAGGTCACAATGAAAATGCTCAATCAACGGCACCACGGTCACAACAGCAATGAGGACAATCAGCAAAATACACGCACAAATGGATATGCATATTCACAAACAGACACACACACAATTACAATCAACTCAAACGGTAAACGACAATGTGACAGGAACAGTGTGAGATTCAGGGCACAGAGAACAGTGAGAGCACAGAAAAACTGCAGCACCTGCAGCAACATGTACTGTACACAGCACACACACGCACACATACATGCACACGCGCGCACGCACACACGCGCACACACACGCGCGCACACACACACACACACACACACACACACACACACACACACACACACACACACACACACACACACACACACATTTGTAACACACAATGTCATGCTGGTTCCAGTCCTGGTTGGAAAAAAAACAAGCCCCCAAAAGTCAAAAAGAGTTCAGCACCTTTGATAGGAAGGAAGAGACAGTTTAGTACAAAAACAACAACAAAAGATAAAGAAATCAGGGTTTTGATTAAAAAAAAGAAAAAGAAAAAAAAGAGGAATTAATGGGGGGAAGAGAAGTGCATCTGCATCTATGTGTTTGTGTGTGTATGTGTATGTGTATGTGTGTGTGTGTGTGTGTGTGTGTGTGTGTGTGTGTGTGTGCATGCGCTCACGTGTATATGTAGATCTGTTGTGTGCATATGACAACCAGAGCACTCACCGGAATATGAAACAATATAAAATGGATGAGTGTGTTAGATGGAAAACGGGACGACCACAGTTAAAACTCTTCATGCAGGTGGGAGAATGAGAGGAAGAGAAAGAGAGAACAGGAGAAGAAGAAGAAAAAAAGGAACACAAGGTCTGACTTTGCCTCGCTGTGCTCCTTCTGAATTCAAGTTTGGAGTTCAGCATTTCAGCAAAACATTTCCATGTTTTAGCCAGAAATACTGTCATGACAGGACAGCCCATATGATGGTAGTCACATTACTGGTTGCTCTTTAGCTAAAACGTAACCATGTGACCCAGTGTAGACTGTAACCCAGTACCAAACCAGTCATAGTAGGCATTTGTCAATTGTGGTTTTAATTTTCCAGAAATCCCTTGAACCCTGCTAAACTTACTCCAACATGGATTCAAGTAACCACAGCAACAAGTCTTTAAGCAACGAGTCAGACCTTTGTGAATTTGATCTTTTCAAACAAAAGGAGATGAGGAACATACACGATGGGAAAAATAGAGAGAGAGTGGAAAAGTGAGAATGCTGCTCACTTGGTTGTCGCCTGGGAGGCGGGGCATGGAAGCGGCCCTGCCATGGCCTTCCATTGGTGGAAAGTGCTCAGTATCCGAGTAACCATCCTGCCCCATCTCTCTCATCTCTACCGTCTGCAAACAGAGCAGGAGAGCAGGAGATGGTGTGACTGGCTGCCATGAAAACTGACAGGGAGTAGGGGAGTTGGGGGGGTAGGTGGGAAAGTTTGTTATCCAAAGAAAGCAGAGAACTGAGGGTCTCAGAGAGGTAAAAGTAGTCAGTGGGAGAATTTGGTGAGTGAGGTTTGTGTATGGTGAGTGTCTTTGCCTTTTTTTTTCTTTATTTGCTGTTTTAGTTTTAAATTGTGAGATGAATGGGAAAAAGGATACCCAGTCTTATGTGGATAAGACTATGAGTATATTCCAAATAAAATTTAATTTAGTATTTGCAGAGGCTGCTGTCAAAAATTGAGCTGCAAGCAAATGCTGGCATACTCACTGGAAGGTGAAGATTCTCTGTCTAATGGCATGTATGCCAGATGGAGGAGCCTGTGAGTCACAGCAGGAATGGATTTGAGAGGAAAATCATATGCAGCCCAAAGGATATATGAAAAACACAACTGATCAGATGACAATGTTGACCAGGTGAAGGCACTGATACATCGTAGGGATTAAATGAGGTTGTGTAAAAATGAGAACAACCTTGAATGTTTTGGTCACAAACCATGCAAATCTTCCCGTGCAAATATGTCACATTCGATTTTGTTTGGAGTTCACCTTGAGAAGTGGAGCTGAATCTGGCAGCTGGGGCTGTTGGCTTGGCCTTTTCTTGCTTAGCTGCAGGTGTGTGAACCTTTTCTTTATTTTTTTACTGTTGTTTGAGTGCCAGCTATTTCATCAGGTCAATTTAAACTAATTGTTACAAATAACATATAAAATAAAACAAACTCAAAATGCACAACCACTTGCAGCATATGCTTGCTGCCCATTGACTCAGTCAGTATTTTAATGTTTGGGTAGTGCTTTTACTGCAAAGGCTTTTGTTGTCTCATATTGCCTGTTGTTGTTTTATTGATTTGATTTGCTTTGGATCTAGCTAACAGCAGGCCATCATTCAAATTGGTTTGCAAGAAGCCGACAGCCACTCTCTTCTATCCAACTTTAAACTTCTCCAGACCTCTGTTGACTGATATGGAGAAATGTTGATGTTGTACGGCCGACTGATACAGAGACCTGTCAGCCCCTCGAGGAGGTCCACAAGCAGAGAGGTGTAACAGCATGAAGACAGAGACACGAATCACTCGGAGGACAGAGGCGAGATAGACTCCGAATGAAATGTGAAAACATACAGTGGAGGAAGAATTCATTAAAAGATTGAAAAATTGCATAAAAACACGGGTTTGAGGGATGGAGCCAATCAAAGAAAGGTCAACACCATATCAATGGTAACTTAAGAATCGAGGTAAGACAGATTGCAAGAAATGAGAATGACCTACTGCGTGGAAATTATAAAGGCAACAAGGCAGCAAGGATGGGACAGTATGAGCTCTCAACTTCTCTATTTGATGTACACAGAGGACAGGGAACAGAGAGAGGATAGATTTTCTCTGTGTTAATCATGTGATGAAGAGTTGTCCAGTCCATATTCATGAGTATGAATAGGCCTTTAACAAAGACTTATTTACTGCAGAGAAGCTGGAAATTATACAGTACATGCAGTATTTAGGAAGAAACTACTGACCAGGGTACCCTCAACCTTATGCATAAGATAATATTGATGTTATTGCTTGGACTGGAAGGGACTGTGAAACAAGAGACAAGAATCAAGTCAATGCCTTGCTCAACAATATGTTGCTCTATTTCTACTTTGACCTCAGTCATAATGACGGAGAAAACAAACCTGATGTCCCCGTGGCTTTATCTAATTCCAATAAAGAGATGGAGTTGCAATCTGTAGCTGCATGATGATCACAGTTTATTTTACCTTTAAAGTGTCCTCAGCAGTTCTTTGGGTTTGGTTCATTTGGTAGTAATGACATGACAAGTCAAAACAAATGTTGAATGCATCGAGTGTTTGTACTTGTTCACACAAACTTGGTATATGACAGGGATGTATTTTATCTGTATTGTGTGTGCGTGTGCGTGTGCGTGTGCGTGTGTGTGTGTGTGTGTGTGTGTGTGTGTGTGTGTGTGTGTTTATGAGCTTTCTACCTGAGAATTGGTCATGCTTCCTAGGCCATCCTCAGGATGTCCCTCAGGACTCCAGCTGCCAACTTTCTGGGACATCTCCTGAGCACGAGCCGTCACCCATGAATGGCTCTCCGGGAGCCCCCCCTCCACTGGCCTATGGTGCGCGCACACACACACACAAACACACCCACACATATTTTCCTTAACTGCTTTCAACAAACCACCTTCTGTATCGTCAAACACGCCAGCAACATCCAACTCACAGGCTGTTGACAGTCTCTGTTGTCTCAGGTGGAGGGAGGGCGTTGTTAAGACCCGGGCCCCCATCCTGGGCGGGGGAAGGTGGCTCCACGCGCTGAAACAGTAATGGCGTTCGATTCTGTGTGAGATATACAACATGGCCGTCGCCAGCTATCAGGCAGACTGACAGGGAAATGGGGGGAAAACGGGCAGAGCAGGAAAAGATGTAGAGAGGGGGCTGTTGGCTGAAGCAAGGCAAGGCAAAAGAGGTGATGGAAGAGGAATACATGGGGTGCTCCTGAGCAACTGATGCCCAGCAGCTAGCTGGAGAAAGAGATGGGTGCATTCTGGGACCTAGAAACCCTGTGAGGCATCCAGGTCCAGGACTCTAACCACTGAAGACCAAAAAGGAAGTGGAAGTCACCCACTCAGTGGCTCAGGGTCGGATCAAAGAGAATGATCAGTAATCATTCTGGGTTTCATCTGATGATCAGTTGTCATCTGATGATGGGTTTAAATATTGTAATATTGATAGAGAATGCTGAAGAACACACATTTCCAAAAAAAAAACCCCAGAAGAAAACATGTTTCCACAGCAGTAGCAGTAGAACTGGAAGTGTTAAAGAGGGGAGCAATCAAAGAAGGGCCTCGTTCAAAGCAGGGAAAGAGGACATCATGGCAGATAAACACTGCAACAATCCTGTGGAGGGGAACATACAGCAGGTGAAATGCATGATGGATCAAGTCAAATATGAAATGCTACATTCAGTCATTCATTGATTATTCATCCACTTAAGAAGTTGCAACAGTGCTAACTGATAACCACCTTTCCCAATTTCAGTGGTCATTAACCTGTTACACATGCAAGTTGGATTAAAAAAAACTTCAGGTAATGTCAAATTTGATCTTTCACATTATAATTTCCAATTTTAAACTTAGAATGGCTTTTTTAATGAGTCATTTTCTCCTTTTTCCTCTCATTTATTCAAATCCAAACTGTGGCAAATCTGCCAATGTCAAGTACAGTATGTCAAGCACATGTAACACTTTGGGACTGTTATGTGATAAGTGATCTGCACTAATGACATCTTTGGATTGTGAAACTGTGTCTCACACTGTGTGTTGCTACAAAATATGGTCGCACTTTCCTTTTGCCCAGGTCAAGACATGCAGCAGCCTGCAATGCAGTAGGTGGAGTGGGGAGGAGAGATGGTGATGTATAGTATGTGTTGGGAGCGAGGGGTGAAGGAAGTGGAGTAAGTGGGAAAAATGGTCCGAGTGTGGAGCACTGCATGTGGCCAGAGGACTGTGAGGGAAGGAGGAGGGAAAATGATACATGAGAAAGCGAATCTGATGTTTGAGAGGCAATGTATCTTTACATTAAAAAAAAAAAAAAAGGTTGATGAGTGCTCTCCAGAGCATGCAAATGTTTATGGTCAAAGCTGGCTGCATAAACCTGGTAAGGACCATTAAATTTAAGTTCAAATAAGATATGATCTCATGATCTCAATCACTTCAGCATGTATTAAGATGAACTACAGCTAAATAAATGTAGAGGGTGGTCATCACCTGTCAGTGAAAGCTCCTTAATCAAGGGGGCAGTGTGCTAACTAAAGGGTCATGCACAGTGCTAACAGTGCAAGGTTACAAGCATGGATGAGGGGGAGTGAGGAGGTACAGTATCTTTACAAGCAGTCGACACAAGGAAGAATCCAGCTCAGTGACAGGGGTCCCATGATGCTGAGGTATTGGCACCTTTGGGGCTGTGACAACATTTCAGCCTGCAAACAAAACCCTGTGGTCGCAGGCATATAAGCTGCTAAAAAAAAACAACATGTAGGTATAAATCATCTCCTAAATTACCATTTAAAATTTTTGTGAAAGTAATTCTCCTCATGAAGTATGTTAGCATTTTTCCTGAGTAATGCTGAAATTACTGTAAAAATAGTAAGTAACAAACTTTGCCCAGCAGGTGGCAGCAGTGTTTTGTTGTTAGCAAAGAAGCACTACATATAAGAGATTGCAGATTGCATTAGACTGTAAAGGTTTTCACCCCCTGCATGCCATTTTTAGGTGACTGAATGAGGACTCATCCCTGATCTGGACAGGGGTTGTCACAGCCCAGGCTTGTATGAACGGGGCAACATCCCTGCAGCCTTCATTTCAGTGGACGTCAGTCTGCCTTCAACTTTAAAGGGTCGGATGCAGGTCGAGTAGAGGGTTATTGTCCTTGTGACAGCAAATACCTGCTCATCACGAAGAGCCTGCGAGCGCTTGATCTTGCTCTGGCGGTAGTACTCCATGATCATCATGGCAGCGTAGATTTTCCCCACTGTCAGGTCTGTCGCTGCTGAGAGAATGACAAGTTACCCTGCAAGATTAGACCCTTTGGTATGGACCCTGAGCGCGAGGAATGGTAGAAAGGGGTGAGGCATGCACACAGAAAAACACTCTTACACTCACAAATCTCACATACACATGAACACTGAGCAAATGGTCTTTTCACAAACAGATTATTATTATTATTATTATTATTATTATTATTATTATTATTATTATTTTAAACCTTATCTTACTTTTGAAAAGGACCTTTGTTTAACTGTATTTAGCATAGATATTTGTCACAGTTAAAATCTTGTAATCAAAGCATTGCATGGTGATATACTGTGGTATAATGCTTGGCATGGAATACCAAACAACAAAACAAAATGCGGTATCTCTAGGAATTTGTAATCACATGATCACAACAGTCAACACAAATTTAACCAACCAAGTCATCAAAAATAAAAATCTGTGATATCCAGTTATGACTGAATATGACTTTGGACTTGGTTGCAAATTTTATGCTCAATACATAATCAATTTCCCAGCTCCAAGCTATATTAATAGCAAATATCATGCACTACACAAACTAAAGCAACTACTGTTTTGTGCAACTAGGTACCTGTGCACTTGTCAGTGTAATTACCACTTAATAAATAAACACTTTTCTATCACATATGGCCAGCCACCTAGTGCACAGAGCTGACTGCCCCTGGAGTGAAAAGACATCTATAGAGAGTTGATCTATAGTTGGGCACCCTCTGATCTCAGGCACAGACAAGTGGGGTCTGGAACTGGTGGTGGTGGCTGAAAGAAAAAGGTGTGGTATTGTGTGTGTGTGTGTGTGTGTGTGTATGTATGTGTATATAGTTGTTTTGTGTCTAACATGCAGGCTGTGTGTGTGAGCTGGTTTGTGCATATCTTAACTGCACACAGTGCTTCTGTTTGCGTTTCTTGATGCTCATATAATTATAATCTTCACAGATTACAGGTATGTGGGTGTGTATGTGTGTGTGTGGGGGGTGTGCCATCTGATTCAGAGGGTGCAGCAGTGACAGAGACTGGCTGAGAGAAGCGGTCCTCAGGTGGCGTGAAGAGAAACAACGTTGGAGCACTGGGTGGCACAGGGTGGCTGCATCCAAGCCGTGTTGCTGCGCCCGCACCCACACTCTGCAACTTACACTTGTGCGGCGTAACCAGCAAATCCAGAGTCTTTTGGGAGAGGTTGGGCCAGATTGCCATCATCTCTTTCCTCAGCTCTGCGTCCATCTGGTGCTTGTCAATACCACCTGGGCATATTCAACAAACACACGCATGCATGCACACACACACACACACAAACAGAAACATACACAGATACACAGACACCCATGCCCAAGTACATAGACACACATAAATTCAGACACATGAACATGCACATACACAAAATGAACATTGTTCAAACACACACAAGTGCACACAAATCATTCATACCCATTCGTATTGACACAAAAAGGTATAAGAGAGGACACACAAACATGAAAACAAACACAGACAGAAAAAATTAGTAAGGTAATAATAATAGCTGTGATCAATTTATAATTGCAGTAGTAGCTGTACACAGGCTGAGAGACCCTTGATTCCACAGGATCTCAACCCTCAGCTTCACACACAACTCAGCAACATGCTACACACATGATCTACTGTCATAAAAAGCACACTGTACTCAAGATACAACAGGAGAAGCATCAGGAAGAGCTGGAGGTTTCTGGGTTCACAGCACAGAAATTGCAGACAGCGCTGCAGTACAGGGGAAATAAGAAGAAGCTGAGGAAAGCATGTGAAAATCAGACCAAAGGAGGTAAGAGGGATTCCAAACCTTCCGTACCCTTGGCGATCTTGATGTCCAGCGCTGTGCGGATCAAGGCCATGAGGGTGGAGTTGAAGTGGACCGTGTTGTCGTCGGCCACAGGCAGATCCATACGTAGCAGTCTCTGTTGGAGAGCCAATCAGGGTAAGTGGTGAGAAAATCGGGAAGTTGGGTGGCACGTATGTGGAACCTCCAGGTGATTGGGGGGGGGGGGGGGGGGGGGGGGGGGGGGGGGGGCAAGAGAGGGGTTTGGGTAAAGGAGGTTGAGGGAGTAGTGCATACCATCTGCAGCAGGCTCTTACTCTGTATGTCTGCCTGTAACAACTACTCAGCTACAGTGGCACACATATTTGAATTTTAGTGCAGAAATGACAACAAATTCACATGTAGAGATTCAAAGATTTTATGCTGTTTCTGATATGAAAGGACCTTTGAGTGCCAAGGTGATTATTCAAAACTTTTATTCAAATTTATCCCCGTCTTATATATTCATTTCATAACTGTCATGTTGTTTATGTATGTTCTTGAAGTCCCAGGCTGGTTAAATCTGTTTTATTGAGCCTTCAATGCGAAAATACGAGGACAGGCTGAGCAGCAGCTACTATACACAGCTCCCCCTAGGGGTTTGGAGGTTCACAGTGAAAACAACAGAGACCAAATGATAAACCAATAAACCAAAAACAGCTGAGGGACTGATCTAAGGAAGGGGAACACTTTGGTTTTTGTGTATTGGTTTGATCCTTTACAGGTCTTGTTGGTTTATAATAGAAACAGACGACACAGAGACACACACCAACTCACAGATGACAGAGTGACGTTCGTGTGTGTTTGGTGACAGAAGACGGCGACAACCCAGACATGCAGCAAATCATGCTTCCCCCCACATCCCGATTGAATGCCTTCTCCTTTAATCCGTCCATGAAAACTTCTTTTTTTTCTTTTTTTAAATCTCTACTCCCCCCAAAATCCTTCTTGCACATCCCACCCTCATGCGGCATGCGATGCGCACACAATATGCCTCACAGGACAAGCAGCTGCGCAGCCGTACACAGAAAGCATCCTCTGTTGACAACATTAAAATGAATTTGTGGGTTATTTTAACGTGGCTGTTCTTTGAGGGAATAAGAAAATTTGTAGACGATGGGGCTAGGCTGAAACGATAGAGCAGCTAGCTCTATCACTAATCAATCCGATGTCTAATGTGTGAGAAATGGGCACAGACTTAGAGGTTAATAGGTGAGAGAGAGCAGCATTCTGTGGAAAAAGAAAGAAGGAGAAACAAACAAAAAAAAATGGCCACCATGGAAGTGTTGTTTGGTCCTATAAGATGCATGATTGTTCAGGTGACCGTAATCCAAGTGTATGTAGGAAATATGAGGTGAAAGGAAATGTTTATTCTGGCAGAAAATAGATATAAGAGTTGGAAGGGAAAGCTAAGGCTTAAATAAAAAATCAATAGGTTGTGAGCTGGAGCATGTAAAGAGAAAAGGTGACCAAAAATAGACAAACAGAAGACAAAACAATGCGGAGAGAGAAAAAGAAAAAAGAAAAAAAAAAAACATCACCACACTTAGTTGGCTGTGTCTGTAAGAAAGCGGTCCTGCCTGAAGGCTCTGCTGTCTCTCCAGGACAGAGAAGAGTGAAGGTTAAAAGCAGTGGAGCTGGATGGGTCATTGTTCTGTGGACTGGTTGGAAGGTCAAAGGTAAGGTTTGGATTTTTCTCATTGGCAAGGTGCTTAGGGAAAGTGGTAAGGGAGGTAAAGGCATAAACAGGGAGATGACAGCTTTCTGGAAAACTGTTCCAGTAATAATTATCAAGGGGCAGATTAATATGTTTGGGAGATTTTGCCAAAACCAGGCATGAAAAGCATGTTAGGTTGTTGAGCAGGGGAGATTGAGGGTTTAACTTCGAGTTCAGGGAGGAGGCTTTTAGGAAAACAGTTTGGGGGTAAAACTAAGAGGATAAGGAAAGAAAGAGAGCACATGATGTAAGGATGGACAGTGCCAGTGGTTTGGGGTTAAAAACAAAAATATGATTTACTAAGAAAGAGACAGAGCTAGAGTTGCAAAAGCCTGGGTTAAATAGTACATTTTAGATCACTCATCTGTAAATAATATAAAATGTCAGTACTATTTTCCCCAGGTCTGCTGGAGAAGGAGAAGGGATAAAGCAATGGTTGGCGATGGAGTGATCTCCTGTGCCTACAGGCTGTTTGGCCGGCTGCCCCCTGAGGCTCACAGTGATCTGCCAATGATGTGTCATGGATCTGTCAAGCTGATCACAGGAGGAGTGACAGGAATGTCTGGTCACATGAAGGTAAATTTGTTGTTATCATTCTGCATATTTCTATTCCGATAACAATTTGTGCGCAATGAATTGTGCCTGTGTTGTGTATATGACAGACAGGGGCGTGTTCAGGAGGGAGAGGAGGGGGGAGGAGGGGGAGGAGGAGGAGGAGGAGGAGGAGGAGGTGGTGGTGGTGGTGGTGGTGGTTAACGGCCATGCAGAAGGCAGGTGAGGAAGTGTGTATGTGCGGGGAGGGGAGCAATATGCAGAGATGAAGGGGGGCTGGAAACAGAATAGAACTGCATTGACGACAGAACCAAAGGACAAAGAGAAGATTGGACTTGCAGATAGAAAAGGCTGCTTGGGGGCTTGGAGCTGCTACATGAAGGGTGACAGAAAAAGAACTGCTTCTGTATGGCAACCAAAGGCTCTCTGTGGAAAACACATCACTTACACAAGCCCTTCTGCTCTCTCTACCATGAGAAATAACAGAGAATATCTATGTGTAAGTTGATATGATCTAATTCTGTGTGTGTGTGTGTGTGTGTGTGTGTGTTTTGTGTGTATATGTGTGTGTGTGTGTGTGTGTGTGTGTGTTTGTGTGTGTGTGTGTGTGTGTGTGTGTGTGTGTGTGTGTGTGTGTGTGTGTGTGTGTGTGTGTGTGTGTGTGTGTGTGTGTGTGTGTGTGTGTGTGTGTGTCTGCCCCATCCACAGGATGGAACGAGTCAGAGGACGTAAGTCTAGTGGACCTTCCAAGCCCTGCTGCACACGCATGCTTCCGTGTCAGAGTGTGTGTCTTCGGCAGCGTCTACATGTGTGAAATGTTTGTTTATGATTAATATATTTGTACTTGGGTGTTTAAGAAGTTGCATTTAGTATACACTTACTACAGTCCATCTATTTGCAGAATAATATTGAACACTATTACATATTGATTGGAATGTGCATGTTTGTGTAAATGAGCTTGTGTGTCCATCGTACACGGTGCAAACGAGCTGAGAAGGTCCCTCTTTTCGTCCCCTCCTGTGGATACACGACCCACCTGACCCTGCAACCTAATTGTCTTGCTACCTCCACCCACCAATCCCACACCACCACACAACGCCACAACACCGATCAGCCCACCCCCACTTTCCACGAAAAGAAACAGAAACAGAACCAAAGAAACAACGACACTAAAGTTTACACCACGTTGAGCGCTTAAATCACTGGCCCCTCCCTCCTGCACACCCCAAACCCCCGCCCCACCCCGACACCCATAGGAGACTTGGGTGAAGATAGGGTCCTTTCTGACCTTGTAGGCCACCCGTGCCGGACACCTCTTCCCAAGGCCTAGTGGAGGACACATGTGCCTCAGCATGTCATACATTTCCCTGCAACTGATCCTGCCACTGCATCATCAGCCATCAGTGCCACCACCCCGTTAACAAAAGCACAAAAAAGGGAGAGACAAAGACATTGAGAGAGGGAGAACAAGAAGGAAGAAAAAGGGGGCAGTGAAAGAGAGATGGAGGAGACGATTGATTAGAGGATAGCGTTGAAAAGAGAAGAGAGAATCGCAGTGTCAGAGATTGAGAGAGAAAAGGGGAGGGAGAGAGAGAGAGAGAGAGAGAGAGAGAGAGAGAGAGAAAAGGGGAACAAAGCAAAGTAAAAAACAACAGAAAGACAAGGTTATTGGGCTGATTTTGGAGAGACTGTGGCCGTGTGGCTCCTCTGTGAGCTACAGTACTCTCTAACAGTTCGTCATGTCAAAAAAGAGAGGGAGTATATGACAGAGGGAGGGGAGACAACAGGAGGAAGATAAGGACTGGAATTTGAGAAGTAAATCTTCTCTTGTAGTATCAAAAGACAATTCTGTGCAAGCAGGACAATAGTAAATACAGTATGTGTTTCGGAGTGTGTGTGTGTGTGTGTGTTTGTGTGTGTGTGTGTGTGTGTGTGTGTGTGTGTGTGTGTGTGCAGAGCAGGGCAGAGCTTGACAGCAGGCACCAAGCCGCTCCTGCTCGGACGAGGAGAGAGGGGAGGAAGAGGGAGGGGTGTCAATGCAGTTTCTGTCTTTCCCCCAACCCCCAAAAACCAAGAACAATGCAACACTACAGTGGGCAACCGTAGCTTGCTACATTATAGCCATGGCTCCACAGCAAGCAAAAGAAAAGAATATTCGTAAAAAAAACCGATAAAATCAAAAAAGAATGATTTATTTTACAATGTGGTAAAACTTCTTAACGTGTATTTTTTTTTTTCCATTTCACTTAGTGCATTTCACATGCTTCTCTGGGTGTCTGCATTGTCCCGCACATTCTCTCAGCAGTTCAGAATGCAATTTAATAATGGTGGAAAAGAAGTTGTAAAATTGAAATGAAAAAGAAAAAATAAATAAATAAAGCGGCATTCACTCCATTCCTGGATGCTGTGGCTAGCAAGTGTGGTTGAGAGATTTTGTTTGAATGGAAGTCAAACCTTGCAGGCCACCCTATGGGGGCATTTCTTGCCTAAGCCGAGAGGCGGGTCGATAACTCGTAATAAACTGTACATGTCCTTATAATGAATGCGCCCGCTGCAAGAAGAATACAGGGAGTTAAGAAACACACGCGCACACAGGAAAAACGCACACACACACACACACATTCACACACACACGTATCCAGAGAGAAGAGAGAACATTGGGAGGAAGAGCACAAGATTGACAAGTACACACAGTATCTGAAAATATCTTACAATATGTTTACTATAATTAACAGACTTTTTCAACACATCTACAACTGAATGCACCGTTGCAAACTCTACACGTACGCACGCACGCACACACACACACACACACACACACACACACACACACACACACACACACACACACAAATAATAAAGACAACACTTTACTGCATGCCACACATAGTTAAATGTGGTCCTTAGCACTGCCAATACAATTTCACTTTTCCAAAATCTTCCCCCTCTATTATGTTTTTTTCCCCCATTCCCTTCCTTGGTGTGAAATCCCTTTCCTCCTTCTCTCTCCAGTCCAAGCCCTGACTGGATGTGTGCACAATGTAATTAAGGAATTGCTAACAGAGTGGAAAAGCATGTGCTTGGGTAAACAGCTAGATGCTTAATAGCTGCTTGCGGTGCGCAGATCGCCTCCCTCTTAAATATGTGTTCAGTGTCGGCCATGTGTCTGTGTTCCCTGTCTTCTGTGTCCTGTGCAGCGGTGTCCATTTCATAGTCAGTAAGGTAGTGGTTGAAAAATAGCATGTTAGTTTAAAACACAAAAGGCAGTTTATGCAATGTACATTAAGGTTATGTGTTGATAAGAGGTAAAGAAAGATTTTTCCTTCTTTCTAAAAGTTCTCTACTGATTTCTAAGGCAAACAATATATTTTTGCATGTTGTAGATAAGTCTAACCTTTGAAGATCTACAATCAGTTATTTAAATCTCCCATTTTCTATGACAATCTTCATTTTCTTGATGTTATTTATCTAAATATAATTATTACCGCTCTATTCCCTCATTTCTCCTTCCTTTCCTTTTCCCATTCATCCTGTTTAGAGCTGTCTATGTGCAGTCTACAGGACAGCATGAGGGCAACACACAGGCACTGGAATACAGATACCATGAAACTTAGCATGTCTCCAGGAGATACTTAGGCTACAGAGTAATACAGGGGGAGTTTTGTTTGGAGTGTAGATGTTGCCACATGAAGTTTTTGGCAGTATGCAGATTCCAGAAAAGGGAAAAGGTTTAAGGGTGTAAGGACAGTTTACAGAAAAGGGGAGGAAGAGGAGCAAAGGGGAGGAGGAGGGAGGGGTTGTACGGTGTTAGGGAGATAACCAGATGCCTGATGAGGTTATACTCAGATCCGTTACAGCCCCCTTGCAGCTATTAACTAGTTGACGCTTGTGCTTTGTTCATTTTCTGTCTTTCTTTGTGCCATTTAAAATACCATGTGCTGATGTTTTACCAAAAAAGGAAGCCACAAAACAAAAACAAAAAAAACAGTCAGAACATTGTTGAGAAGTTCCTGCTTTCATTGCTTGGGCCTTGCTCTGTGTGAATAAGCATATTAAAACATGTACAAGAAACATACAATAAAGCATTTGATGTGTCTGAGTGTGAGGTCGTAAACAGTGTCTGTGTGGTTGTAAACACACAAGCACGAACAAAATGTGACAAGTTGACGATGTAAGTTTTGACTTCAAAATCGACAATGTGCAAACCAAACGTGTGCATGTAGTTCTGTGCAATGTGTGTACATAAGAATTACAGTTGTGTTTTCTTTTTTTATGTGTGTGTTTGTGCCCCTGAGGGCATGCACGTTACCACGCACCAGGCAGCAGGATCATACTCGGCCCATATCCTGACATACTCATCCAGGTGGTGAGGTCCCAGTATGGATGAATCCCTAGTCAGGTACTCAAAGTTGTCCATGATGACGGCTACAAACAGATTCAGCATCTGCACGTGTGCGCGCATGAAAAACACACATACACAAGCAGAAAGTTGAACAGCTGATGTTACAAGTGGAGCCAATCAAAACTGGTGTCAATAAATCACCAGTTTTATAACTATATTTTAACGAACAGAAGCAGAACATGTTCAGTTGCCTGTTCACTGTTGAAAATGACTGATTTTCTTTCCTTGCTGTGAGTAAGAGATGCAGAACAACCTGAGACAACGCAGAAGGGCAAATCTGATCAGGTCTTTGTTTAGATTAAAGACAAAATGAGAGTGAGATTTTTTTCCCAATCTGGGCTCTTGAGATTTGGAATACCTTGCTAGAAGAGCTAGAGGAGCTTTCTAATAACACAACATTTCCAGGCAGGATTGAACGGTATAGAATTATTTTATAAACTCATGGACATGTTGCCACATGTGTTCATGTGATATGTATTTTACGCTTTCTGAATGGGGATGAAGCTGTTGGATTGTGTAGTATGCGCTCACCAAGAATGAACAGAAGAAGATGAAGGAAACAAAGTAGAGATAGGCAAACTGGCTGCCACACTCTGGCTCTGTGTTCCCTGACAGGAGGTCACACTCCTTACCCCCCAGACATGACAGCATGATCTCATGCCACGCCTCCCCTGTAGCGCTCCTACAAATACACAAAAAGATTCTTTGATTTGTGAAGTATTCGTCAGTGAGTATAAAGTCTACCACAACTGTAACAACTTTTGTTTCAGATGGTTCTGTGGAAAAACATAGAAAGTTGTTTAGAGGATACAGAGGACACACGTTCACACATATATATATAATATATATAAGCACCTGAAGAGCAGCATGAGAGCCTGTATGAAGGTCCTGAAGTTGTTGTGCTGGTTGATGGCACTCTCTCCGTCTTCTTCAATAGCAATATTCCCAAACAGCTGTCGAACACAATCATACTGTTAACACTGAAAACCAGAGTCACCTTTCAGGCCGTCTTTGCCTCTAATGCGGGACTAAGAAGTAGATATAACCCCCCTGAAACTTAACTTCACATATACAATGCTTTCATAATAATCTTTCACCACCCATCATGCACCAAATCCTTACGACCGCTATCATCATCCTCATTCTCCTTCTATACCTCCTCCTCGTCCTATAAAACATATTTAATGTATCCCGAAAGCATTATAGTGCATTTTAGCATGAGGCTTTCACCCACCTGCATCCCAATGATGGCGTAGATGAAGAACAGCATGGCAATGAGGAGGCAGACATAAGGCAGCGCCTGAGGAGAGACACATTCATTGTTTGGTGTCAAGTTTGATACATGTGACCGCACTGTGCATTGTACATGAGACTGCACCTATTTTGTACACACTATATTGTATGTGTGTATTGTGTATATGTGTATTTGTTAATTATATATGTCATTTCTTCCTGTGTGTGTGATATGCTGTTTAGTTGGGTGTAAACCTTGAAGGACTGAACGAAGGTCCAAAGCAAGATGCGGATGGTTTCTCCCTGCCTCAGTAGCTTGATGAGACGAGCTGCCCTGAACAGCCTCAGGAAACTTAGGTTGATGAAATTATTCTACAGTACGTCCGCAATATAACCAGAGAGGAAGAAAGAGAGAGAGAGAGAGAGAGAGAGAGAGAGAGAGAGAGAGGAGGGGGGTTGTAGAAAGGATTAGGATTGAATGTTGAGGATAGGAATGTGAAGGAAAGGGGGAAGGAAGGAATAAAGGGAGATGGAAGAGGGGGGAGAGGGAGGAGTTGGGGTCAGAATAAAGGGAAAGTTAGTTGCAGTGCAAAGTGTGCAAACAATTTTCCTTAGACAACCAAAAAATAAACAAAATAAAATAAAATAAAGTAAAAACAGTCAAACCCAAACTGAAGGGGATTCAAACTCAATACAAATGAAAGAATCAGGAGCCAAACAAGTCAAAGCAAACCAAACTCAAATCAGCAAGGCTCCGACAAGCGTTTCAAATGTAGGTTAGACAGAACCAAACAAAACAACACAGGGGAGAGGACATCATCCAAGTCTAGCTAGTTTCATCCAATTGGGTTATGTAGTAGTAATTGTGTTAGGAGTGGTGACTGGTTAAAAGTGCAGGGACGTCAGGACGTTTTCTTGGAAGGACAACCAAATGCACTAATTCTCTCAAGGCAAAATATGCAGTATCTTAAAAATGAAACAAGCACACAGCATGCAGATGTGCACTAATACAAGGCAAAGCAGCAAATCTGTGACAACTGATGTGCCATCCGATTGGCTGCCAAAGTCATGTGACATACTGTAGTGATGTCACAGCCAAATAAGAGCAAGAGGGTGGCTGAAGGACCAACTAAGGTCATTATATCCTGAGTGAATTTCTTTAGGCTCATGTGGTTTCAGTCTCTTCAGTCTGATTATGTTCAAGTTGAGTTGACACATCTATGCGACAATTAAAATTTATTTTTAAAAGAGCTTTTTCATTATTTTTTAATGTTTATTTAAGACTATACAAATTACTATTATCAATTAATACAAAATCTGTAATACAATACAGAGTTAAACCATTTACCACAGTAAAGAACAAAAGATGACAGTTTGAGACTAAGTGCTGAAAAGGGACTGGCAGCAGGCACATGCAGGTTTCATCTACAATATAGCATGTATTACATTGTGTGTGTGTGTGTGTGTATGTGTGTGTGTGTGTGTGTGTGTGTGCGCGCGCGTGCGTGTGTGTGTGAGCGCACGCTTGTGTGTGTGTTGTGAAAATAAAGGGTTCCTGCCAAAGACATGCAAGAGGCAGCATGCATCACTTGTTCCCTCTGACAGCAGCAAAGCTTTGGACACTCTCCCAGTCACTGTCTTGTGTGTGGGTGTGTCAATATGTGCATACAATGAACGGTTAACCTCAATGGATAGATGCAGAAATCTATTCCAGTATAAAGAATCCTATCCTTTACAAACTGAAAACTAGTTTTCTGTAAAGGATGCACAGTATGGGTATTTATGGCTGAATAATATAAAAAATATATATATATTTACAGCATATATTGATACAGTGACTGGCAGAGAAGTTGGTAGATCTGGTGACAAATGAAAATTTTACTAATTTAGAGCTCACTCAGAGTTGAGGGTTCTGGGGTGGTGGGGGGGGGGGGTCAAGCAAAGCATGCACATTTGCACAGCCTTAACATTGGCTGGGATGCAATTAAAACAGATGCAGTAAAAAAAGATCTCCAAAAAATTACAAACCATCTACATGTGGATGTTGCAGACATATGGTTTATAGCAGCAAATTTTTGGATTTTTGGTTGGTTCGAAGAACAACCAGAGAGATTGACCAAGCCGGTTGTCATGGGTGGACACAGAGGATTCATAGTGCATTTTGATTGGATGGGATCACAGGAAGTAGTAGGTGTTGGGGGAGAAGGGGATGGGGCGAAGTAGATTACAGTAGATCGTCGTTAAGTTTGTAGACGATTTAAAGAAAGCATGTGAAAAGATAAAAACAAGAAAGAAATCAACAGTCATTACAGAGACAAGTTAACACAGCAGCAGGATTCTGCCTGCAAATTTGGTACATCCATATAGCAGGGATACCAAGGGTCAAGACAACAGGGAACTGTTGGAAAAATGTACAGATTCTGAATAAATAAACATGACTGTATATTAGTATAACACCCGGTGGCTGGTAAAAGCATCAATTTAAGCTTGAGAGGGTTTGAGTCATTGGTATCCCTTGCTTCCTCAGACAGACCTGGTAGGAAAGGTGTGAGGGTCACAGCCCGCGATAATGGCTGTGCAGCTCTCGAATATGGTGGAGCAAATAAAATTTTGACTGTCATTCTTGTGTATCCCTTTTAAATCTCTTTGGATCAAAGCTATCCAAGAGCTTGATACATCTATTGAATACAGTTTATTCATTCTCTTCCTACCAGGTCTACCTGTACATCTGTAAGAGCAACTCTTAAAGTGTGCTGACAGAACACAAAGGAAATTTTCACCTCATATTATCATTGTGGGTTAACAACGAATGTGCCAGCTGTTAGCTCTAAGGTAGCAAACAAGTGTGTGTTGTCATTTTTCCTGTCATCTTTGTATATTTATGAAGTAGATTTATAAAACCTCAGGGTAAATGCAATTTTTTTTTGCTCCAGTTAAAATATTTTAAAATCGCCCAGATGCATATTCTCTTCAGTTTGCACTGGCCAGGGTAAATGTGTGTCTAACATGGACTAACATACATGCATTGACCTTGTATGCAATCAGTCGTCTGAAAATTGCCTCATGTTCTGTCTGAACACACCGTCAGAATAATTTCTAAATAAAAGAATCTTTCTCCACAGTTATATGCACTCACAAACAGAGAGACATATTAAATCAACACACAGCACACATATCAGCAGTTCCATGGCTGTATACTAAGTCATTCTGGCAAATAAAATAACCTGTTTTTTGACTAGTTCTCAGTTTGTGATTCATTTTGCTTCCTTGGGCTTCCAGGTGATGTAAAGCGACCTGAGGCAGTAGGGGTGTAATGATTCGGAAACCAAGACCGAAACCCCGATTTGATGTCACGATACCAGAAGATGGAACCACCCCCAAAGCCAACCTGCTGCCACTGCTGCAGGTGCAGCCTGTTGAGCTCTCATTACATTACTGAAGTAGCGAAACTCATTTTTCATTTCACATTTAACACTACAACACATGCAAATTACAAAATCATTATTCTATTTGAAGTTAGAGCAAGCTGTATATTTTCTAAATATTACACAGTCCACCTATTTTTTTGTCTTCCCACTGTATATCTCACATGACTATTTTGGTCCAATCATGATCGAGTGATCACATCTGCAATAAAATTTAGGCTAGTTTAAACAAATAAACAAAAACCTGAGGTATGAACTGAAGTGAACCGTGGATTTGCAGAATCATTACCCCCCCTATCAGGCAGCCATATTGGAGGTCTAAAGAGCAGCTGAAATAACTGAAGTTAAATTAAAACTCAATAAACTGGAATTATTTCAAGTGATGATGAGTGTCACTATATTAATAGTGCACTGTGCATCAATAATGTAACTCTGGACACAGAATCTAGTTAATTTGACCATTTACTGGCGGCGATGACATTAAAGAATGGGCCCATAACTTCTATCTTTCACACATTTCTAGTCCAGTTGTTTGAATTGTTTGTGCCTAGTCAGATGGATCCAATGGGCCTCCTCGACTTCAGCTGTAGTTATTAACAGATGTCTGCAAAGCCTCTATTGGCCACCTGAGATGCAATCTGTTAATCTGACTGGATATTAGGTGGCTTGCAGAAGGTCGCTCCAGAGCATCAGCATGCTTCCTGCCTCGCTGCCAGTGGCTCAGTGCTGGCTAGCTTGGAGTCCGGTCTCTCCTCGTCCCACCAACTGGGACAATTATATAAGACTTTCAAGCGATGTTCATGCATGACTGAGCAATGCAAGACTCGGCAGTGGCCTCTAACTCATGCTCTCCCCGAACTCCTTGTCTTGTCTACTGTATGTTTTTTAGGCAATGTGACAGATGTGCAAGACCACAGACACATGCTGACGCTCACCTAACAGTCATACTCGCTCAACAAACACGCAGTCAACAAACATTGCCGATACAAGATCATGTCTGTCTGTTTACAGTTTTGACCGCTCAGTACAGATCTCTCAAACATACACGTCTACACACAAACGCCTCAGATCCTGCCACTTACCCCAAGCTCGGTGACCAGAATGTCAGTGATGCTGCCCAGAACTGTCACACAGTCAAAAATATTCCAGGCATCTTTGAAATAATTCTGTGATCAGGACAAGAGAGAGACAGAAGAAGGGCGAGAAAGGAATAGAGAAGACAAGAGGAGGATGGAGTGGAAATAGGGAAGGTGAGAAGGTGATGAGTTGACATGTGGCGAGAGCGACACAGTAAAAAGTAGACGAACATGGATGTGGCAGGGAAGCAGAGAAAGAACAAGTAAGAAAAGAACGGAAGAGATAAAAACAAATGGGCAACGCAACGGGATGGAGCATAGACAGACCACAATGAAACAAGGAGAAAGGATAAGGCAGGATTGAAGTAATGTTAAAATGAAAAAGAAAAAAAGAGTAAAATGCAGTAAAAGAGTGAGAAGATGAGAGAGAAAGAGCAAGACAGGGAGAACAGGAGTCAGACAGAGAAAGATAGAGAACAAGAAAGTGAAAAAAAAGACATGTCAGTGTTCGACAGGAACAGGAAAGAAATTAGATGACACAAATGGACCATCAGTGACGGCATGTTGGACGGATGCCAGCAGACAGGCTAGGGACAAATTGTACTGCATCAGAAGACTATAGCAGCCACCAAACATCACATACTGTACATCGCTGTATATCATAAACCAAACCAACACAAAGTCAAACTGAAGTCCTTCTAGCTTCACAGACATTCCTTTAAAAAGAAAAGCATTGCATCCCTCTCTTACATCTAATAAATAAACTCAATCTATAAATCTACGCATACACACATTTTTCCACACATGCTGATCATTGTAGATTTTTAAATTTAAAAAGTAGAGTGACTCAAAGAGGAAGAATGTGGCATGGTGAGGACAAAATTCTGATGAGCGAGGTCGGCTTCTTTTGCTTTCCTACACATTGCCTGCAGTCAAACTATGCATTAGACAAGTGGAGGGACATGGAGAGAGCAAGGGAGGCGGCTATTAAAATAAACCACCTTGACGAACACACACACACACACACACACACACACACACACAGATATCTCAGAGGCCTGGTGTTATTCGTGTGTGTGATTGTGCATGCTGAGGGGTGTGTTTAAGGGTGCTCTCCTAGATTCAAATCCTATCCTGCTTAATCTCCACCCTCTCTGTAATCTCTGCTTCTCTTTTTACCGCCTAGCTGTCACTCACTCTCCTTCTTCTAATTACTGTATTGCCGCTCCCCGTCTGTCCTGTATCTCAACATTCATCCCTAAACTATCTCTTCTATCCATTTTTTCCTTCCTTCCGTTCCTCTGCAGCTCCGATGACTGCACACTTCACTGCTGACTTCTGGCAGTTTTCTTTTCGCCCTTCCTTTCTACCTATAGTCGTATCTCTCTTGCTCATCATTTCCCCCCCAGTTTCTCCTTAAATATGTAAGCAATAACGTCAGACAATGTGTCCCAGTGGAACAAAATAATGGACGGGGCTGCGGTGAATACCTCCACAACATGAAACAGAGCAGCATCTAATTTGTCGAATCCTTTGTTTTCTACATCTTAGTCTCTTTTAGCACGTTATATATGATTATCAGGTAACAGATTTTTATTTGTTACCTTCGAGAAGCTTTCTGCACATTTTCTCAAGACTATTACAATTACCCAGAAACTCGACATAGAACAGCTTTACTGGGTAGTGAGGTAAGGGTGGATGTCAGACAGGGGGCATTGGATCTACATTGAATTTTAGGTGTTGCTGCCACAATCTGACCGGAGTGTTTTTCTTGTTAAGTTTGTTTTCTGAGTGAATCTCAGCCCTTGGCTCTGCATTGTGTCTGACAAAGGCTGTATTTTTTGTCTCACTGTTGTGCGTCGCCTGGTAACCATTAATGATCTATGTGGATACAGCCATACCATGTAATAATAATAATAACAACAGATTTTCAGCACTTTCTACAAAGATACAGTGGAGCAGTAATCTCTCACCACACACAAACTAACACATAAACACACACAAACACACACACACTCACCAGTGCTCCAAAGGCGATGATCTTGAGTACACACTCCATGGAGAAGAGGGAGGTAAACACTATGTTCAGGTTGGCTAACACATCTTCATAGGTATCAGAAGCTCCATCATACTATAAACAAACACACACACACACACATATACACACACACAGGCAGCGCACAGATTCATACCAGCAAACCAGTGTACAAGTATAACAGAATGGATTGCCATACACACAGGAAAGTGTGCGTTAAGGTAGACACATATACACACACACACACACACACACACACACACACACACACACACACACACACACACACACACCACCAGGGACAGAAAGAAGGGCGAGTATAAAGACATATAAAGAGACACACAGTTCAACTCACCCAATGGAGAGTCAGACATATTCATTACAATGTGTTCATCACAGGAAATAGTTCACACAGTAAGAGATAAAGGTACAAAGAGAGATGGATGTGAACTTCAGCAAATCAAGTCGTTATGTTGTTCTGTTGATGTGTGTTTATGCTAATGTGTGCATCACTGTTTCTGAAGACTTTTACCTTCATCATCAGCACAACCGTGTTGAGCGCGATCATTGCCATGATAGTATACTCAAATGGCGGCGACACCACAAACTCCCACATTCGGTATTGAAAGCTCAGCTTGTTCTGGGGCATGTGGCGTGTCAGAGGCCTGGCATTGATGGCAAAGTCTATACAGGCTCTCTGCAAAAAGCAAAACAAAACAAAAAGGTTTTGTTCACATTCTGCTGTGATCCCTCTTTTCCTCTCCCTTCTACTCTATCCAGCAGTTATAATCCTCCCTCTTCCTGTCTTTCAGACACCCTCCCAATACTCTTTATCTGTATCTGCCTTCACTCCCTTAATCCTTCTTCACCTCATTCTTTTCTAAACTGTAGTCCTCCATCATCTTGTCTCCTTGCTCCTGGAAGGTGATGATGATGAGAGCCACGAAGATGTTGACGAAGAAGAAGGGGAAGACCACGAAGTACACCACGTAAAAGATGGACATTTCCATCCGGTATCCCGGGCTCGGGCCCTGGTTCTCATAAGTCGCATCCACTGAATGCTTCAGCACCCTGCAGAAGAAGAGAAGCGAATGGGAGAGGGTTATAGGTTGTCAGAAAACATGTGTGCTGCTTGTGACTGCGCACGTTTATGCATACTCACTGCGGCCACCCCTCTCCGGTAGACACGGTGAAGAGGGTGAGTAGGGCCCAAGCCACGTTGTCGTAGTGGAAATCGTACTTCTTCCACTCCCGCTTCTGCGCCTTCACTTCGTTATCACGTTCGTAAACCAGATATTCGCCCCTGAAATACATATACCACATCATCAGCACAATGCGAACAAGGGAGAGTTTGCTTCCACATTTATTCATTTTTTTATGTTTCCGAAGGGGAAGAAACACTTGAAATGTTTAAAAACCACATGAGTCAAGCATCACGCATGAAGGGACTCAACATTACGAAGGTGTCCAGAAGAATTTTACCATTCAGGGTAAATATAGTTTGTATTTCCTGACCTGCAATCGCGCTCAAACTCTTTGGATTCATCAGTGCAGTAAAAGAAGCGTCCCTTAAAGAGCTGCACGGCCACCACAGCAAAGATGAACATGAAGAGTAAGTAGACAATCAGGATGTTGAGCACATTCTTCAGAGAGTTCACCACACAGTCGAACACAGCCTGAGGACCGAGAAAGGGAGGGACAGACACACAGATTGTAATTATTTTGATAAAGAAACAAACTGGATTGAAATTATTTGTGCATTTTGGTCTCAAATTGTGGCATCAAAGGGCAAATAATGTGAGATAATGTTAAACCTTTGCTTTTTGATCAGATGCACCCCCCCCGATGCTTCCAGAAATCAAATCTGCAGCAAAACTTTTTCTTTATAAACTTACCTTAAGTTTGGGAAGACGTTTGATCGTCTTCAGAGGTCGCAACACTCTCAGTACCCTCAGAGACTTGATAGTGCTGATGTCTTTTCCTTTACTGCTCCCCCTGTATGTGTACACATGCGCGCGCGCGCGCACACACACACACACACACACACACACACACACACACACACACACACACACACACACACACACACACACACACACACACACACACACACACACACACACACATTGAAAGAGTCAGCAGGTTTAGGGTGATTTGACAGGCTTAGACCTCTCGATTCCAAAATGGCAGTGGGCAGCCATTCCTTGATGGTATTTGTGTCCGAGTTAACTCAAAATGAGTAACTGCGTCTGGGTTAAATACATAGCAACACATGCAGCATTGCTATAATATTACAATTTAGCCTCATTTCTAATTGTGAGGTTAGCATTGTAGCTACATGCTAGAGTTAGGTGGTGTATTACAACTATAGTACATGCTATGGGAAGAACTGATATCATTCCTGTCTGAATGCTATCTTGTAGCTACACTGGTTTAATACTTTGCAATGTATTTCAATGCTTTACAAAGACAGTTAAAGCCTTGGTTTGCACATGCCCAGCTAATGGTGAAATATATTCATGCTGCATTGAAACCTTGCTTTCCATGCTGCAATATTTCTTATTTTAAGCAGCAGTTTGAGTGATGGAGATCTCTATTCTACACAGAGACATTTGCAGAGAGAGTTTAGTCGTGGTCTCAGTTAGACATATACAATATTTTCTGTCTGTAGTATAAAAAAGTTAAAAAAATAAATCCTTAAATTTTAAATGTAAGTCACAATTTAGTACTATGACTATGTGCTTCAAAGTGGTAAAAACTTGAATGAACAGCCAAACTCTCTCTTTTGATGACTCAACCAGTTAATTACTATGAACTCTAAACTACAACTAGGATTAGCTGGTTTCACAGCATTGTTCAAACAGCATGGAATCTTGTCTTTTAAGCCATTTCGGCAAAGACAAAGATATTTTAGTGAGCATTTCATGTTGAAATGCTGAGCCAAACCTCTTTTTTTTAGAACTTTGATGTTAGATTTCAAGGTACATATGTGAGAGAAGAGGAATTAATATTTCAGTTGCACTCAACACTCTTCACAAAGCTAAAAACTCACAAATTTAAGAACTACAAATAAGCCTGTACTTTAGTACCAAACTAAATCTAATCAGATTGTAAATAAACAATATTTAGTAGACCGATGGTAAAAGTGGGCTACTCTGCAAAATCATAACCTGTTTACTTAAAGGAGCCATTTGAAAGTTTTGCTATTGTCACATAGCCAACATTAGAAATAACAGATGTTTACTTACCAGGCTAGAAGAAACATTGTGAGTTCAGCATCACAGTTCATACCTTTACTCGCCAAGAGCTCTCTCCAGTGGTGCAACCCTTTTGTTTTGTTTTTTATCTATCATTTCTTCCACTGAAGTTAGCATGCTAACCAGCTAGCCCCAGTCCAGCCATATCGTCTTGTCACTCTCCAATACCGAGTCACTGTAGTGTCCAGTCTGCCCTGAAGAAGTAGCATTGGACAGACAGTGTAACATTGCAATGCAATGATGGCTGAAGCTCTTGAAAAGACTGGTACGTAAACATCTGTTAATCCTAAGGTTAGCCATGTAGCAATAGCAAATAACTCCTTGAAGTAAAATTGGCCAACTTCCCAGTACTGAGGAAAACCTTTGATCTGTGTTTTTTTAATTTTTTTATTGAAAACCATTTTTTCCTCAGATCAGGCTGAAGAAATTAAGGTCGAAGGTCACTGAGTGTGGTCCTCAGGGAAGGAGACAGCTGTTTGTACAGCTGCATGTGTCATACAGCTGTTATACCAGATGGTAGACTGCTAGTGGTTGTGTGTGAGTAGGCTTTGTGTGTGCAAGTGAGCATACAGGTGTATGTGTGTGTGTGTGCATGTGTGTGTGTGTGTGTATGTGTGTGTGTGTGTGTGTGTGTGTGTGTGTGTGTGCATATGTGTGTGTATGTGTATGATCACACCACTCTCAGGTTCCACACCATTAGCACAAAATATCACACGGTATCTGTGTGATTCAGTTGAGAACCTGACGGAGGTTAACTTGAGGTTTAGTTGTGTTTGAGTCAGAGCTGTTCCATGGTGAACAATGGAAAAAAGGGAAGAATAGATAAGTACAGAAGTCAACTGTGATGAGGCATGGATGAACAGGGAAGACGTGTGGTCAGAAAAACAGGCACCAAGAGTGCAGAAGGAGAAATGAGGAGGAAAGCGAAAGAGAACTTTACCCGCCGCCGCTGTTGGTGGTCCAAACGGAGAGATGAGACAGGGGTGAGAGACAGCGAGACAAAGGGAGAGAGAGACAAAAAGACAAAGGGTGGGAGAAAGAAACAGAATGGGGCACAGAGAAAGGAGGGATTTTGAAGGAAAACATCCATATGAGAGACAGAGAGAAAAAAGAGAACACAACGCCTGCTTTTTGTTAGGTCAACCCTCCCACCCACAGACTACTGATACTAAATCAAACATACACATGCATATAAACACTTACACTTTCAATTTAGGCAAACGTATTATTACAAACTAGATGTCCTATCTGGGAGCGACTTTTACTGGTATTATCATTTCATCTGGAAAATACGACCAGTTTATTGTTATTATTATCACGTTGTATTCTAATTCTACCACAATCATCAAAATTTTGTTTTCAATTTTAATTTGGTCCACAGCCAACTTTTAAAATCTGTAAATTAGCACTCCCTTTGAAAATCATAGATGAACTGTGAGTTGCAACCAATTATTGTTAATGACTGATAGTAGACCAATGTGCCCACATATAAACTTTTTTTAAAAATACATATAATGCCAACTAAAAAAATTTCAAAATGTCAAGGCATCCCATTCCAAATGTGGTCAGTTACCATACAAGCGTCTCTGTCTCAGAAGCCTGTCTGGACATAAAGCTCAGTCCAGCTGCAGAAATGTGCAGGACAGCGGCACAAGCGGTCCAAGACACCAGCAGACCAGACTAATTGGATTAAAGGAGCGATAAACATCTCCAATGAGACTGCTGAGCCTTTCTGGAGTGCTGTTTGATTTCCACCAATTGAATTAAGGCACTATCTGGATGTGTATGAGTCTGTTCTGACTGGTTCGGATCTCCCCATCGGCCATTAGTGTCGTTAACCCCTATCGTAATTAAATCAGACTTTATTGGTTCAACTGGCTTAATTGATTGTTTTCTGAGTTTGTCTTTATGTTAACACACAGCCTGTACCAGAATCGTGTATATAATTACAGTTTTCTCTCTCCGGTACTCATTTATTAATCATATTAACTTTGCTGATTAATTCACCTAAAAATCGATTTAAATATGTTAAGCTGCTGTGCTGCTTCTGTATGTTCTTTTATCATTTTGAATTTGTGATTACTTCGAGTTTCATGATTTTTGTCTATTAAATTTACCTAATTTTTAACACTGCATACATCTATTTATCAGTCTATATGTACAGACTTAGTCACAGAGAGAAGAAATACAGACAAGTTGAAACACATATAAATATGCAACACAAAGAGGTTAGAGGACACAGTTAAGGACAGAAGCACAAATATAATATATACACAAACAGAAACACAGACAGGTTTATATGTACCACATAAACAAGTAGATTAAACTGAAATTAGGGGAAGGAGTGTTAGTGAAAGACTGAGGTAAAAGCCATTCTTGTAGATGGGCACCACCACTAGAACCCTGGAGCACCTGCCATGTTTATGCTTTCTTTATTCATGCTGGCCTGGAATCAGTACTACAGTACAGTTTTTTTTTTACTGTGCACATTCTTTATTCAAAGAGTGTACTTCTTAATTGCATGAATGAGCTGCACAACCTTGACTATATGAGATAATGCTGAAACATTTCCAGCACAGTTACAGCAGAGACATTTACAGTGGTTGCAAACATCTGTGGCAAACATTCAGTTTTTGCGTCTTCTCTTCTGAGGGAGCGTTTCCCTTATATACATGACATTGCCGCCACTGCAATGTCATAAAGTTGCAATTACACAACTCTGGAGAGGGCTTTTAATTTGAGACAACGGATTAAGTGGAGACACGTGGCGACACCCAGCCGAGTTAAGAGAGGAAGAGAGAGAAAGGTAGTTTTAACAAGCTAACATTAACTTGTCACCACTACAACACTACTAGTACAACAAAACCCTTCACAGTCAGACTGACTACTGGGCATAAAGTCAGTGGACAGGTTTTAGAGGCCCTGTTGTGTCAGTCTGTTTACCAGTCCTCTCTGTGTGCCTGTCATTCAGGGTGCACATGTGAGCGTGCAGCGAGCGAGGTCCGGGACTGGGTTCACTTCATCGAAAACCAATGCCAAGCCTCCTGCTGCTGAAAAAATTGTGAGGCCACATGTTTCATGTTCCCAACAGACTGGGCTTACTGCTATAATAATTTATTGAACCCAGATAGTTAACATTAATTGTATTCAGCTCTGCATTATCAGTGCATTACTTCATATTCATGCAACATAAATAACAACAAAAACATGCCTCTGCACTCTGGACTTTTTGAAGAAACCTACTGAATCTCAGGAGCCTCAGGGAATATTTGAATATGATTCCAGAGGACTGAAAACAACAAAATGTTAACACTCATGACTAAAATACAGAGAAGATCATAAATGGTGAGTAAGTGTCTTACCTAAGTTGTTAATAGGCTAGTGTGTAACACTTTTGTTCAGATTTAATGTCAATGAATTTTGTCACTTATAGCCAGCTAACAATTTGCTTTAAGGGAAATTACAAATGGTCATCTACTCAATGTAACAAGAAAACTTTTCTAGACTAAATAAAATACACTATCCAGTTGCCAGAGTATCACGGGCTCCATGAGAAAACACTTCTTGCATCTGCCAGAACTATTATCATGACCCCACACCCCCTTACCCCACTTAGGTGTATCCCACTCACAAGACCGCAAAAACTGAACATTTGTGGAACATGAATGCACAGACGTCGCGGTTTCCTGAAAATACAGACTGGATTTTTAAAGTCATGAATAGGATCAAGCACAACCTTCTTTTCGTTTCTGCAGATGACCTGTTTCAGAATTTGTGTCTGGGTTTACGGCATTAAAATTACTGTACTGTATATCTTCAAACTATACCAATGTTACATTAAATTAAACATTGACTGCAGTCCTGCAGGTCTGCTTTACTTTACATTCTTCTCAACCATGCAAACTCACAATTCATGCTTTATACCCAGCATAGTATTCATAACCTCAGCCCTAATTCAACTGAGTTATGCAAAAGTAACTGTATTTATCCTCACAGTCATGCAGATTAAGTAGGGTTTAAAGTACCTGCTTTGTCGTGGTGAAGGGTGTGGAGATTTTTGGGAGCGAGCCCAGCATGACCTGGCCTGGCTTTGCATGGGGCCTTTAATTCTAGAACGCCCTGGGCACTAAAGGGTTACAGGTGCAAAGGGTGGTCCTCACCTCTCACAGGGGGAGGAGGAGGTGAATAGGAAGGGAATGCCAGGGTACTATTTTATACCATGTAGGGGCGCAGGGGGTTGGTGGTGGGGCTTAGAAATGGCAGGAGTGTAGAGAGAAAAGGCAGAGGAAATGGCCAGCTGTAGAAGTTTTGGCCATTTGTAAGCATAGACAGGAAAAAGTTTAATGGAGGAGTAGACGGATGACAAGAGGATTGAGAAATGCTTAGAGAGTAAGAGAACATGTGTGTGAGAGAATGAAAGGACAGAAGTCAGAGACAGAGAGGAATAGAAAGGAGAAGCCCAAATGAGCCATAGGTCAATAGAGAAGAACAGGGGAGGCTGTACTCCAAGGTGCCAGTGAGGCAGTAGACAGGCAGGAGAGAAGGAGGAGCGAGGAGGAAAGAGAGGAAAGGACTGGGGGGAGGCAGGAGGGAGACTTACGTGAAGGCGAAGGCCACCAGAGCACCACTAACCACTATAAAGTCAAGGATGTTCCACAAGTCCCGGAAATAAGAGCCCTGGTGCAAGACCAACCCCAGATCCACCATCTGCAAGAGAAAATGAGAGCATGATGATGAGATGAGAGCCCCTGGGCACTGCCGTGGTGCGCAATAAAAAAAAGTGTCTAATCCTCATTTGACCTGGGGTTCTCAATTGCTTAGTTGATTCGGGACATTGCCTTACCTTGATCAGCATCTCAAATGTGAACACACCTGTGAAGACATAGTCAAAATAGCGAAGAACCTGTACGAAGAGAAAGAGGGAATGATTTGCTGCTGCATCCAGCTAGTGGAAAAGAGTGACAGGATGGATGTGCACAATGATTTCAAATTCAGATGTAAAACAATAACTTTACATTAGGGTATGAGTTAATTTTTTTAATTTTTTTTATTTGAATATTCTACTTAAACAGTGTCATACATATATTGTAGTATATGAAATTATTGTTTTATAGGTATATGAGATTATATCAAATATTCTAATCCATATCATGTTGAGCACATGTGGCAAAAGCTGTACTTCCAAATGATAATGTCACTGTTTATTATACCTGTATAAACAAATAATAAAAAATGAATCTATGGGTTTGCCTCACTCACTCCTCTCAATAGTAAAATAATTCCTTTAAATTATCTACTGACTAAATGGTTGGACTCCTTCATTTACATGTTTTATGTTATACTTTATATGATTTATTTATTTCTATTCCCTGGTCCAGGTAGAGGGCTGGTGTGAAAAAGGTAATGTGATAACATGTACATAATATTTCACGCAACAAAAGCATTGTTACATCAATGTACGTCAAACTTCTTACATTGTTGCGAGGGGATTCGGGCCACACAGGGTCTTCAGCAGCCAGGGCAATACTGCTCATGGCAATAACCAGCAGGATACACATCTCAAAATAACGCAGGGTGCAGATGTAGTGACATGCCCGTCGAAACCTAGGAGCAGACAAAGACATTTTTTTTCCTCTTGTGTTTGTGCTAAGGAAACAATTAGATCTTCTTTCTAAGTATATAGTATCTGCTAAGTTACTGTTAAGTGTTCTCTGCCTCTGTATGCAAGTGTAAACGAGTGTGTACATGCTAGTGTGGTAGCTGTAACTTTATAGTCGGATCAATTTTCCATCAAGGATTTAGCTCTGAGTCTATAGATAAATAAGAAACTAATGTTGGGTGAATGTGTCAAGTATCAACTATTCCTGTGTGTCAGCCAATGGTGAGTCAAATAGTGTAGGTGAGTGTGTCTGTATCATTACGGGTTGGTGGTGGACAGGATGAACATGGAGCTGAAGGGAGGCATAGGCCTGGGTCCTCCTTCGCCTCCCTTCTCATCATCATCGTCGTCCTTGTCCTCCTTCGCTGGCAAAGGCTCTGTGTTGGCATTTTTATTGACTGGATCAGAGAGGGAGAGACAAAAGGAGGGAGGATGGCGTGAAATGGAAAGTCTGAAGAAGAAGAAAGATGAAAAAAAAAAAAATATGACACATTCACTTTTGCCCTTACCCTGCAGTATGGCATTGGTGGATGGAAAAATTGGCATGTCTATTGCTGTGTAGTCAGGGTGAGGCAGCCTGATGACGCTGTTGGCACGGTGATGTCCGATGTTCCCATAGCTATCTAATGTGACCAAACTCCCATGAGTGCCACTGTTAGCAAGATGGAGGGCAGATCCAAAGCCAGGGGCAACGGTGCGGCTGGCGATTGGGTTAGGGTGACTCCCGCTAGGTGGGGTAGAGCCAGACACCAGTTTGGTATTCATGAGGTTGTCCATATCCTCGCTGTACTGGCTGTCCTGCCTAGAGAGGCTCTTTTGGATGGGCCGTGTGGTAGAGAGGTTAGGGACACTGCAATCCCTAGAAAGAAAAAGAAAAAAAAAAGATGATAGATAGAAAAAGGGAGGAGAGGAAAGAAGGGAAAGGATGAAATCCATAGAGAGATGAGAGATGGAGTTTTGTGACACACAGATAAAATATCAGTACAAAGGAAAGGGGAGAGGAATTCATCATCAGACAGAAACATCAGTTAAGTGAATATCCAAAAATGTCTTTGTTGCAACTGAAATTTGCATCCTATCTATAGCCACATGCATTGGACATACTTCCTCCTGTGCTGGCACATCCTCTTCCCCTCGCCGTCCGTTTGGTTGCCATGGCGACTTCTTCTTGGCCTCCTCTCACTGCCATCACCAGCTCCGTCCTGTTCTCCTCCTTCTCCACCCCCATCCACCCCTTTGCTCTTGTGTCTCCCCGTTTTTCCGGCTCCTCCCCCGCCATCCTCGCCATCTTCTGCGTTCTTTCGATGGGACCTGGGCTTCCTGTGTTCCGACTGCCCTCCCCCTCGACTGCCGCTCCGGGTGTGGTGGTGGCGCCTGGACGGCCTCTCCTCCGAGCCTGGGCCAGGAATCACTGTGGCATCCAATCGGACGTGAGAACTGTGGTGGCGGTGCTCACCTTTACGGCTCCGCTTGCTCTCTGTGGACTCCCCCCGATCCAGGGGAGGCCTGACCGGACCTGAGCCTCCACCCCCATCTCCACCTACTTGCCCACCGTGTTCGTGGAGGCGTGTTTGCCTGTGGAGCTCGTCAGCAGGATGGTGCTGGCTGAAGCAGAGGTCTGAATTGTTGGCGGTGGTCTTGTTGGTGTTGTTGTTGCGGTTCTCGTGGGGGTCAACCACCAAGGGTCGATCCAGGTGGGTCTTCATGTCTGGACGGATGTGACGTGAGTAGTTCACCTGCAAGGAGAGGCGAGGACAGAGAAGCAGCATAGAGGGAAAGATTGAAGTTACAGTATAAAGGTATAATTTACAAACATTGTAACTGCAGATTAAAGTCACATTTGGCATCGTCTAGTGTATATATGGAGGACTGATGGCCAATCTACTATTAATAAATAATAAACTATACATAAATATACACCAGCTAAGCAACATGTAACATAATTTATAATCATCATCATCATCAACATGATTGCCATCACTTGTGTATACTGATAGCACAAGTCTAGGGGCCTTTGTTTGCCTTGTCCTTTACATTGTTGTGCTCCTCCCTCCCTGTCCTTGCCTTCCAGCGGTCGTCAGGGTCCAGCTCGTTATAAAGGGCCTCGCGGCTGGATGCCAGAGTCTGCTTCCTCAGCTCCTTGGTGCGTTGCTCCCACACTGACTTATTGACTCCCTTATTGTGGTTCTTCTGCTGCTCCTTACTGCAAAATGAAATAGGGTGGAGAGGGAGGAGGGGGATTGGCAGCATTAAAGACCTGTTCGGAGACATACGCCGTTGCGCAATTATACACACATAGGCATGAGAATGATGTGAAAACCAACACCAAAATATAAGTACATAAAAATAGCCAGGACATAAAGACACACTGGGGGCCACAGACATGTAAAAGGGTCATTTGGCTGGACCTCTAGAACAAGGCAGCTCAACAGAACAAGGTTCTGGGTGTCTACACAGCTTGCCAAAGCACAGGGCAGGACAGCCCTATTTTGGTAAACCATGTGGGGACACAAAATGGAGGATAACGCTGAGGCAAGGTCAGAATTTGTTCTAATTATCTATATTTGACCTACCCAAAGTAAAGTATTTACAATTTAAGGCTTCATGCAGGACAAAAAGCCAAACGGGGGCGACCCAGACTGACTGAGCAGTCTTTAACCTACTTTATACCGAAACGCCCAAAAGGTGTCAGTGACCACCTGCTTTCTTACCCTCCAGAACTCCAATGAGTAATCAACTTTAACTCCCATTTCTCTCGGGGCCAACAGTCAACCACAGTAAAGCAACAGCCGTACTGCGAGGTGCAGGCAACAGAAAATGTACTCTTGAAAATAAGCCAACACAAACAACAGCTAAAGAAAGCCAACTATGTAGTTCATAAAAAAGTTGAGAACAAAGGGACATGGAAAGGAGGGTGTTCTAAAACACAAAAATAAAGCAAGGAATGGTTGTAAAGTCAATAAACAGAAGGGATTCAGAAATGAATAAACAAATAAATAAATACCAGTCCAGAAAGGGGTCGGTAGCGTTGTGACACTCACTGTGTACTTTGTTGCTGAGGAGGGAAACAGCTGGTGAGTGAGATGGCACGAAAGAACAGAAGGAGGATTTCATTCCAAAATGGGCTATCCATCCACCATTTAAAAAAACGGTCTGCCCGCTATTCAAATAAAATGTGCCGAAGAAACTGAACACTAAAGTAAGTAAAATACATTCCCGAAATGCAAAAGCTGAAAAAAAAAAAAAAAAAAAAAAATCTCGATAAATGGTAAACTGTTTTGCCAGAAAGATTTAGCATTTTGGAATGCAACCCTTTACACACACAAACACATGTACAGACACACACACACACACACACGCACACACACAAAACGCACGCACCCAGACATTCATACACACTCACCTCTACAATTTGTTCCATCTCTGAATCTAAAACAATCTTATTTATTTTTCATTGTCCTCCTTTTTGCAGTCTCACAAATTTCATCTTTCTTGCATCACTCTCTTTCACCCTGCCCTGTTCTGATCGTTCTTGCAGACTCCTAGCTGTACCTCTGATGTTCCTGTTTGTCTGTACAGTATCTTTTGCTCAAATCTTTCGAGCCATCTTTTTCCGACTTAATTCCACTCCTCTCCTATAAGATCTTCATTCTTTCCTTCCTTTTCCTTCACCGGTTACATTATTCATAAGAATACTGTTTGCCCTTTTCTTGCCTCACTGTTTCACCACACAAACTAAACTACAAGCATATTTCTTCACATACATGAGAATGTGCATTTGAAACTGTGACTTGTGTGCATATTGCAGAAATATTGAACTTAAATGTAGAAATATCTTTTAAAAAAAAAAACTAATGAGAACATGTTATGCTTTGCTACAGAGCATGCTAACAGTTTAGCTAGTTTAGTATACACACACATTACACAAGTTGTAATGCATTAATGACTGGAAACACTGTGGTGAGACTCACAACCGTAAAGTGATTAAAAACTGATTTGCTAAATTGCTGCTGTATTCGTGAAATCACTTTAGATTACATGGCTGTTTAAGGGTGCAGAGTGTTGTCATTGTGCGAGAACTAGTTAGTGTTCTGTAGCTTTCGTGGCAGCCTCCGTTCCTGAATCTACCATAGAATATCTTCTTAAGAGATTCTTCATGCACCACTGATGTCCCCAAGTTGGAAATCTCTGCTTGGTGCTTGGGGGGAAGGAAAAAAAAAAACACAAGGACTAACTCCATTGGAATTTCAATGTCTTTCCCTTTTAAAACTACAGAAATGAGGGATTTGGATTTACACTAATACAGTGGAATGTAATGCACACTGCAGCCCTGTATCGCTTATAATACACAGTGATGCACAGTGTATGAAAAAAAGGTTAAATAAGTTAACTAAAATCTGTTGACTCTCTTAACCCTATTAGTTAAGTTCAAAATATTAATAACATGTAGAGACATCTGTCATGTTTTCTTATGTGCATGTGGCCAGTTTTGTAGGTGGATGTGAAGGCAAATAACCTTAGTAAATTTGCTTTCTAATGAAACCAAGAACACTCTTCTCTTTCTCTCTTTCTCTCTCTTTCTCTCTCTCTCTCTCTCTCTCTCACACACACATATGTACACACACATATATATACACGAGCATTGTACTGATAAATAAATACTTAACATTAATTGGACTCCCAGCTAAAATAAGCTTACTGATACACAGACACAAATGCTCACAGCACATTGAAGTACAGTACATACGGCACATACACTAACAAGAAGTGGGATTCACAAAATGATGAACACGTTATGAGCATCTGCTTTGTTTCTGCAGGGATTATTTCAAATCAAACTGTTAGGCATGTCTGTTCATTGCATCTGTGTGTGATAATGTGTGTGGTGTGTGTGATATAAAGTGGGCAGAGGCTTATGTATCAAAGCGGTAAAGGTCAGGACTGTGTGTGCATATGTGTGTGTGTGTGTGTGTGTGTGTGTGTGTGTGTGTGTGTGTGTGTGGCATGGGCTCCCTTGTGCTTTTTTTTACAGACAGATCACAATGCGGAGTGTGTGTGTGTCTCTATGAGTGAGAGTGTGTGAACTTTACCAGGAGTGAAAGGAAAGACCCCTGTGTATACAGAGAAAAGAGATCAAAGACTCTGACTCTCCTGACCAGAGGAGGGCTGGCCCAGATCAATCCAACAGTGGCGTGTGTGTATGTGTGTGTGTGTGTTTTAGTATGCACAAAAGAGTGTGACAAAGAGAAAAAGAAGAAAAGATAGAAGGAGAAGCTGGCAGAGGAGAGGAGATAGAAACATATACAGTGCATTCAGAAAGTCTTCACTTTCTTCATATATTGTTATGTTGCAGCCCTTACCTTAACGCCTTTATTTTTCTCACTTTAATCTACACTCAATTCCCCATAGTGATAAAGCGAAAACAGCATTTTAGAAATTTTTGCAAAAATATTAAAAAGGGAAAACAGAAGTTTTCAGAGTCTTTGCTATGACACTTGAAATTCTGCTCATGTGTCTCCCATCGCTGAGATGCTTCTACACCTTGATTGGAATCCACCTGCGGTAAATTCAGCTTTGGCAAGAGAAGGTGATCAGTGAGTCTGGCTGAGCTCCAGTGATCCTGTGTGGAGATGTGTCAGGCAGTTCCTTCCACCTCATGGCTTGGTCTTTGCTCTGATACGCATTGTCAGCTGTGAGACCTTATATAGACAGGTGAGACAGGTGTGTGTGTGCCTTCCTAAATCATGTCCACTCAGTTGAATTTGACACAGGTGGACTCCAAACAAGGTGCAGAAACATCTTGAAGATGATAAGAGAAATGGGAGGCCGCTGAGCTTTAATACATTTTCAAAAAGTCCAATTCTAAAACTCTGTTTTCACTTTATCATTATGGAGTATTAAATGTAGATTTGATGAGAAAATTCTTTTGTTTGTTTTTTAGCATTAGGCTGCAACATAACAATGTGAAAAGGTGAAGAGGTCTGAACACTCTCTGCACTGTATATTAATGTTTTAGTTTATTACTAAATTTACCGTTATTAGAAAAAAAGGTGCATGTCAACCAACTGATGTAAAAAACTGGACAATCTTTTATTCCCAGGCAAGGACATATTTTAAAGAAACTGAAATGTTATTGTTTATATTAAGAATATGAGTGGTGTTGCTAAATGAGCACATCAAAGGTTGATCTTCTAAATATAATCTTTTAAAGCAGGACAAGTTCTGTGATGTACAAAACTCTTTACAATAGCACCACCAGTGTCAGACTGATACCTGATGAAGTAATGTGGTATGGGCTCCAAACTTCAACACATGACATATTCGTTAACAATTTTCCCTCACAACAATTCTCCGTGTAAGTGCGGTACACCGTGCTCTCCCCAAGCTCCTGAGGCCTCTCTTTCTTTAAAGATATGAGCAAATGCTCTTCCATAAATGTCCTGCCTGGTGTGAAAGTGTTTTCAAATGGATACAACAACAAGCGCGTAAGAGCAACAGAGACAGAAACTCACGCTGCAATGGAGAGATTGGCAGCAGACAGTGGGCTGACTTCAGCCACCTCCTTGGCTTTCTGCAGGGCGATCTTCTGACTGGCAGCCTCCTCTTCCTCTTGCTCATCCTGCAGAGCCAGAGAGAGAGATTAAAAGAAATCAAGAAATCAAAAGCAAGAGATGAATGGGGTGGGAGTAATGCAAATGAGGGAAACATAAAGAATTCATTGAGTAGAGGAGCATAACTCCTGTACTTCAGAGAAGAAACGCTACTGAGATGTTAAGTTAAAGTGGACGGTGGTGAACCTTGGTCAGTTCCTGTGCGTTGGCCAAATTGTCCACAGCGATAGCCAAGAACACATTCAGCAGAGTGTCTGAGCATGGGGTTAAAGGAAATCCAGCATGTGGGAAGTTTGTTTGAACATCAACATACAACATGCACATACAGTCCCTGACTGAAACAACTGGCTGACAAAAAATATGTGGGTTAAAGACTGAGCACCTTGAGTGATTAAAATAAACAAAAAAAAATGTGTCAGTTTCTGCGTATGTACATAAGCATTCGCATGGCTGTGTGTGGAGTCTAAAGTGAGCAACTAAAACTAACACGTAAAACATAATTGCATAAGGGTTTATTTCAAGTGCACGTGTGAGTGGTGTGTGTGTGTGCACGTGTGCACGTGTGCTTCTTTGCATTTCCACCGTCAAAGGATACAGTTGCCAAAAAGTGTGAGTACGATGAAGAACACAGAGAAGGCCATGCCCTTGTTGACTCCGCCCTGAGACTTGATGCCATCGTACATCACCATGTTCCAGTCCTCACCGGTCAGGATCTGACACACACCACACACACACACACACACACACACACACACACACACACACACACACACACACACAGATATACATATACAAATAGTAAGATGAGGCTATACCTACTCCAAGGACATTTAGTGATTTGATGATTGATTAGTGCTTTGATATAGAGTACATACTGTACACCCGGACACAATATATACTCATTTAATAGGCAAAAGTCAGAACACACAGTCAACTTCTTCAACTTCTCTCAGACACACACTCACACACACACACACCAACACACACACACACACACACACACCTGGTAAATGTAGACCAGTTAGCACAATTATGATTTTGGCTAATTGACATTTAAACATTAGCATTTCTATTATTTATATTCACTCCTCCTGTGCAAATCCTCTTCAGTCCTTAATTGTTTTCTAATCGTCCAGTCCTTTGTCTTCTCCTAAGACTACCCCCCCCACCCCACCCCCCCACCCACACCCCACCCCCCATCCACCAGCCTCTCCCCTCCCTCCCCTTTACAGTACATGTGTCTCCTCTGCTCACACTGGAACACTGGTCATTATTGCTGCGGGGAAGGTATCGAAGTTTGGTCGAGGAAGTGCCATTTTCAAAATTTAAACACTAGCAGGGGAAAAAAAAACAGGAGAGAGAGTTGAGAAGGAGAAGTGTGAGAGAGAGGTAGAGGAAAGACAAAGAAAGGAAAAAAAGGAACAAGGAAAAGCTATGTACCAGAGCACACAAATATCTGTCTGAAAAACTGCTCAAAAAATGACTTGGCAAACCTTGCAATTAACAGAGGTAACTAATCTCTTCGAGTGGGAAGATTAAATGAGCGGACTATTAAAAGGGAAGGGAAGAGAACAGAGAGAGAAGAGCTAGTGTAAGGAATAACGACAGCACTGACTAGTCCTCCGAAGAGCTGCATGCCCAGCAGGGCAAAGACAACTCATGAAGGAGGACAGAGCATGGAAGAGCAAGCTGATTGATGACTTCATGTAGTGAGCAGAAGAGACGAACGAGGTTACGTAAAGCATGCCCAGTACCTGACACACGGGCCCAGAAGGTAGTGTGTTTAGGATTGGATGGTTGATATGAGTGTAATATTAGGTCCTTTATATCAATGTAGCGAAATTAATCACAAATGCATATTACAACGACTACACTTGTGACTTGCAAGACTCCTCAATAACCTTGATGAGCTCTAGCACACCTGATGCCAAAACGACGTGCCCGGCTGGATGATGGACCACAGCACTTCAAATTATGCTACCACATATCCCTCCACAACATAAACAGACTATCTACTGACGAACATGTGCGTTATTCATGAGCACAATATGCACTCATCAGCAAATCATCGCTACCTTCTGCGTGTGAAGTGGTGTATTTTACAGTCATGTTTTCACATGTGTGTGTGTGTTGCTGAGCGGAGGGTTTGCACCTTGCTGGTTGGTTGTGTGTTAGTGTGTGTGTTGTTGGTTTCTTGTGTGGGTGTGTGTCAGCAAGGTGCTAAAGTGGCGACTCACAATGCAGTCGAAGCAGTTGAAGGAGGAGTTGAGGTAGGCCTTGCCTGCGCCAAGGCCATTACAAAATCTTTACAAACACTCTCTGTCCAGAATATTCCCAAGCAGGTGAATTCAGCAAAATCTGCATGGAGGGAGGAAGACGAGAAAAGTGAGAGGAGGAGGAGGAGGAGGAGAGGAGGAGCGAGCTCAAACCTGCGAAAGGAGCCCATCATATCTCCTACATGCTTCAACCTGTGTCTGTCCATCCGTCCGTCCATCCATCCATCATAGAGGTGTAGAAATGTTTACTATACATGTATTTTATGTTCTGCATTTTGAAACGCAAAAATTGCTTATTTGCAATATTGTCCAATTTACAATATATAATTTGAAGTCTTGCCTCATTTTTTTTTGTTTTAAATTAGCAAAAATAGCATTTTGCGTTTCAAATGCAGACATAAATACATGTATGTAAAAACACACACCTCTATGGATGGATGATGGACGGACGGTGAACAGACCACGTTGAAGCATGTAGGATAGATGGGCTCCTTCGCGTTTGAGCTCCTCCTCCTCCTCCTCTCCTCCTCCTCCTCCTCACTTCTCGTCTTCCTCCCTCCATGCAGATTTTGCTGAATTCACCTTCTTGGGGATATTCTTGACAGAGATGTTTGTAAAGATGTATGGCCTGGCAGGCAGGCCTACCTCAACTCCTCCTTCAACTGCTTCGACTGCATTTGCTGAGGCCCCACTGCACCTCTGCGACACACCACCCCACACAAAGAAACAAACACACAAACCACAAACTCACCAGCAGGTGCAAACCCTTCCGCTATTCACACACCACACAACACATGTGAAACATGACGTGTAAATACACACTTACACGCAAAAATGATGTAGCGATGATTTCTGCGATGAGTGCATATTGTGCTCATGAATAAACCACATGCTCCGTGGTGCTTGTCTTTTGTATTAGTGGTATATGTGTTAGCATATTCTGAATGCTGTGGTCCATCATCCACCGGGCACGTCGTTTGGCATCAGTGTGCTACGAGCTCTCAGGTTATGAGGATCTTCAAAGTCACCAAGTGAGTCAGTCTGTAATATGATTGTATTATTTCCTACAATTGATATAAACGACCTAATATTACACTCATATCAACCACAACTAAACACACACCTTCTGTCTCCGTGTGTCAGTTTACTGGGCATCTTTACGTAACCTCGTCGTCTCTCTGCTCAACTCCATGAAAATCCATTCATCACTTGCTCTTCCTGCTCTTCCTCTTTCATAATTGTCTCTTGCCCTGCTGGGCATGCAGCTCTTCGAGGACAGGTCCAGTGCTGTTTTCCTTTTACCTGAGCTTCTCTCTCTTGTGTCTCTCTCTCCTTCCCTTTTTAATAGTCCTCATTTAATCTTCCACTAAGAGATTAGTTTCTGTTAATTGGCAAGGTTGCCCAAGTCATTTTTGAGCAGTTTTCTTCAGACAGAATATTGTTGTGCTCTGTAAATGCTTTCTGTTTCTCTTTTTTTTCCTTCTTTCCTTTTCCTTCCCTCTCTCACACTTCTTCCTTTTCAACTCTCTCTCCTGTTTTTTTTTCCCCTGCTAGGTTTAATTTTGAAAATGGGCCACTCCTCCGACCAACTTCGATACCTTCCCCGCAGCAATGAATGACCAGATGTTCCAGCGTGAGCGAGAGAGCAATGTACTGTAAAGGGGAGGGAGGGAGAGGCTGGTGGATGGGGGTGGTGGGGTGTGGGGTGGGGGGGTGGGTGGGGGCGGTAGTAGGAGAAGACAAAGGACTGGATTAGGACAAAACAATTAAAGGACTGAAGAGGATTTGCCACAGGAGGAAGTGATATAAAATATAGAATGCTAATTTTAAATGTCATTAGCCAAAATCATAATTGTGCTAAATCGTGTCTACATGTTCAAGTGGGTGTGTGTGTGTGTGTGTGTGTGTGTGTGTGTGTGTGTGAGTAAGTGTGTGTCTGGAGAGAAGTTGACTGTGTGTTCTGACTTTGCCTATTAAATGAGTATTATCATCTGTTCCGGGTGTTCAGTATGTACTCTATATCAAAGCACTAATCAAATCATCAAATCACTAAAGTCCTTGGAGTAGGTATAGCCTCATCTTACTATTTGTATAATGTATATTGCGTGTGTGTGTGCTGTGTGTGTGTGTGTGTGGTGTGTGTGTGGTGTGGGTGTGTGGTGTGTGTCCAGATCCTGACCGGTGAGGACTGGAACAGGTGGTATGTACGATGGCATACAGTCTCAGGCGGAGTCAACAAGGGCATGGCCTCTCGTGTGTCTTCATCGTACTCACACTTTTTGGCAACTTGTATCCTTTGACGGTGGAAATGCAAAGAAGCACACGTGCACACAGTGACCACCACACACCAACATCACACGTGCACTTGAAATAAACCCTCTATGCAATTATGTTTTAGCTATTAGTTTTAGTTGCTCACTTTAGACTCCACACCACAGCCATGCGAATGCTTATTACCATACGCAGAAACTGACCACATTTTTTTCTTGCGTATTTTAATCACTCCAAGGCTGCTCAAGTCTTTAAACCACATATTTTTTGTTCAGCCAGTTGTTTCAGTCAGGGACTGTATTGTGCATGTTGTATGTTGGGATGTTCCAAAACCAAACTTCCCACATGCTGGATTTCCTAACCCCATGCTCCAGACACCTCTGCTGAATGTGTTCTTGGCTATCCGCTGGTGACAATCTTGGCCAAACGCACAAGAACTGACCAAGTGTTCCCAACCGTCCACTCCCCTCTTCTTCATACTTACAGTCTCATAGCGTTTCTTCTCTGAAGTAAGAGTTTTATGCTCCTCTACTCAATGAATTTCTTTATGTTTCCCTCATTGCAATTACTCCCACCCCCACATTCCTCTCTTGCTTTTGATTTTTCTTGATCTTCTTAATCTACTCTCTCTTGGCTCTGCAGGATGAGCAAGAGGAAGAGGAGGCTGCCAGTCAGAAGATCGCCCTGCAGAAAGCCAAGGAGGTGGCTGAAGTCAGCCCACTGTCTGCTGCCAATCTCTCCATTGCAGCGTGAGTTTTCTGCTCTCTGTTGCTCTTACGCGCTTGTTGTTGTATCCATTTGAAAACACTTTCACCACAGAGGCAGGACATTTATGGAAGAGCATGTGCCCTCATATCTTTAAAGAAAAGAGAGCCTCAGGAGCTGGGGAGAGACGACTGTACCGCACTTACACGGAGAATTGTTGTGAGGGAAAATTGTTAACGATATAAGTCACTCGCTCGTTGTAAGTTTGGAGGCCCATACCACATTACTTCAATCAGGTATCAGTCTGACATCGTGGTGCTATTGTAAAGAGTTTTTGTACATCACAGAACTTGTCCTGCTTTAAAAGATTATATTTAGAAATATCAACCTTTGATGTGCTCATTTAGCAAAAACACCACTCATATTCTTAATATAAACAATAAACATTTCACGCTTTCTTT